CCTGAACGTTCCCACTTGTGTTAGCAAGGGCACAAAGCTCGCGCTGAAGGCGGAACTTCTAGTCTCAGCTTTAAGGCCTGAACGGAGTATAAAACTGAAAGTTGCACCGGCCGACCCCTTGGAAACCGCGTTATCGTCCGTTACGAGCGAAAACTTTAATGCTGTAGAACGAACGCTGCGGTAGCTCGGTGCGCGCCAGTTGTGGGCGAAATTCGTTGATGAAACTGGAGCGATTCGTAAGTGTTAGCAATGCACACCAGATTGTGCGTTTGCACGCGCACAGAAAACGCAATGCAAATAAGTCATAAGTAGAAAGCTCTTCGATTTAAAAACACATTCATGCGAGGAACGCCCATACAAAATAGAGAGTTTCAGTATTGTATAGGAGCGAACGCAAGCACTGTGCTTGTTAGCGCTAGCGTTGCGTATTCCATATTGCGCAAGCTTCATACGTACGCAACGCCGAAAAATCGCAATCGATTTTCGCGTGCGGACGCAGCGGTCCTCTGCATTCCCGTCTTCTTGCTCTCGTCGAGCGCGGGACAGCGCGAGACTCAGGTTGGCTTCACCGAATGCTTAGAGCAGTTTGCATGCATGACACATCTAGATGGCGCTTGCTTGCGTATTGTTTTATTGCGAATGCCTTTGCGTTCCGCTGAACTAAAAGCGCGAGTTTGACGCGCTCCGCAGCGTTCCACTGAGAGCTTGCGTGCGTCGTACGTTGCTAACACAAGGGTCTTTACGCTATTCTCAAACTCTTAATGTGTAGAGACGTGGCAATACTGGAATTAGGGATAGGTCCCAGCTATAACTGTTTCATTTCAAATGCATGCGTAGTGGAAGCTACAAAAACGAGGTCCGAGCATTTAGTGTCCCTGCCTGCCAAACACACGCGCTCATGCAGTGAAAACATCGTTCAGGGCAACATGCTTGTACTTGTAGCTTCAGCTTTGCTCGCGCATAAAGTGGAACAAAATATCGATACAACTTTACGTAGACTTTAAACATCCACCCACCCCAAAACAAAAACAGAATTACAAAGAAGTAAGGTGAGTGCTTGGAGGGAGTGTGGGCATAAGGGCGGTATATTGCGTTAATATAACGCTATAAAATCGTGGCGGTTTAGAAAAACCAGCAACACAAAATATCTACGCTTCTTTTGGGTCTTACCTTTCAGGTATTCTTCTTCTCTGAGGTTTCACTCTGAAGCATTAGGCGGTTAACCACCGACTCTAAGAATAACCCTCGGGCAACTCTCACGGCAGATGCCACTGTTTGGCGGCACTCTTCAAGAACCATTTTCCCGCGCATGATTGCTATAATCTCACTTGATCAAAAATCACTTCACTTGGGCGGAGTACCGCGAGGGGTGGAATGCCGGAGGAGGCGATAACGCAAAATCAAGTCACTGCACGTGACGGTTAATCAGCGTGACAAAACACACACACAAAGAGACACAAAAGACGGTATAATGAAACGATGCGCTACCGCTTAGTTACTTACGGCGGCATCCAGAGTCATCTTTTCGTTACCTTGGCCAACGCGAGCGTCCTCGAAGGGTTACGCCCATCTGTACGTGATTAGGCATTTCGCTGCTGCGCGAAACCACGGCAGAGGTACTAAACGTGTGCCAAATTAAGAGCCCCCTCCACGAATGGTAATCCTCGCGCAAACTTTGCAAAGCTATGCTGGATTTAAAAAGGCGGGTTAGGCGAGTTGGGGGAAGTTTGACATTATAGGGTGCTAAAAAAAAGGTCGCATCGCAACGCAGAACTCTGTGTGATACGAAAGCCGCAATGTCGGGATTCATGTAAATGTAACAATACTACACTCATCACGGGGAATATAAAAAGGACCGAAAGTTGTTCCATGCTTCCCGACGCTTATGAGCAGATCCATAGCCTTCCAGGTTCCCTTCAGATTCTCAACAAAAGTGTTGGCTGCTCGACCGATGCAGGACTGTAAATAAATCGTTTAGCTATAGTCTTTTGCAATCGTGCGGCCTGTGCGAGCAGTATCAGTGGTTGGCGCCTAGAAAGCGCCAAACAATGGCTTCTCTGGTTCTTTTTGTTTTAGAGCGCAGCTCTTACGCGCCCGTTTCCGGCTTGAGCGGCGTCGGCGTAACCGTGAGGTTACGTGATCCCCATGACGTCACGGGGGTCACGTGACACCCCCCCCCCCCCGAAGTCACGTGACCCCCCGACACGAGGGGAGAAGGTTGAAGGATGACTGGAGGAGGAGGGGGAGGAGGAGTAGCAGCAGGTAGGATGACGAGGTGAGGAGGAGGGAGAAGGGGTATACCCTCCCCTCAGTACCTTTCCATCCTCCTCAAGAGCTGCGCTCTAATTTGGCGTTACAGGGAGTTGTAAATGCCTTTCATTTTAGAGCGCAGCTCTTAGGGGCCCGTTCCCGGCTTGAGCGGCGTCGCCGTCGCCGTCGGCGTAACCAAGGTCATCCCAAGGTCACTTGACCCCCAAGGTCATCCCAAGGTCACGTGACCCCAAGGTCACGTGACCCCTCCCCAAGGGTCATCGGGGGTTACGTGACCCCCCAAGGTCACGTGACACCCCAAGTCACGTGACCCCCGGGGTCACGTGACCCCCGGTGACGTCATCAGTGACGTCACTGATAACGTCACCGGCATCCGCATCGTCATCATCACTGATGACGTCATCAGTGACGTCACTGATGACGTCACCGGCATCCGCATCGTCATCATCACTGATGACGTCACCGGCATCCGCATCGTCATCATCGCTGATGACGTCATCAGTGACGTCACTGGCATCCGCATCGTCATCATCACTGATGACGTCACCGGCATCCGCATCGCCATTGTCATCATCACTGATGACGTCACCGGCATCCGCATCGTCATCATGACTGATGACGTCACCGGCATCCGCATCGTCATCATCGCTGATGACGTCACCAGCATCCGCATCGTCATCGTCACTAATGACGTTATCAGTGACGTCACTGATGACGTCACCGGCATCCGCATCGTCATCATCACTGATGACGTCACCGGCATCCGCATCATCACTGATGACGTCACCGGCATCGTCATCATCACTGATGACGTCATCAGTGACGTCACCGGCATCCGCATCGTCATCATCACTGATGACGTCACCGGCATCCGCATCGTCATCATCACTGATGACGTTATCAGTGACGTCACTGATGACGTCACCGGCATCCGCATCGTCATCATCACTGATGACGTCACCGGCATCCGCATCGTCATCATCGCTGATGACGTCACCGGCATCCGCATCGTCATCACTGATGACGTCACCGGCATCCGCATCGTCATCATCACTGATGACGTCATCGGCATCGTCATCGTCACGTGACCCCCCTAGGTCACGTGACCCCCACCCAAGGTCACTTGGCCCCCCCCCCCAGTACCCTTCCCTCCTCCTCCTCAAGAGCTGCGCTCTAATTCGGCGTTACAGGGAGTTGTAAACGGCTTTCACTTTTTTTATTAGAACGCCTTTTGTACGCAAACAAATGCTGCTATTTTCATGATTTACGCTACCAGCTCTGCGTTTCGTACGATTCCCATGTCTAGTGTAGAAGGGGTTAGTACCGGCTGTACCCCGAAGTATTCTGTGCAACGTGGCACTCAGTTGAGCTGACACTGTTCAAAAAGCTGCGAGTTCCCAGAACGTCTTAAGGCTATCGTCGCGGGTTTCTCGAGCGGCAGTCGAGTCTCGACAAAACCTGTGTCTAGGTGCGCCGGTGGTAGCCTCTAGTGATGGGCCGAACTTTTGCCGAAGCGAAAATTCGGCGCCGAATCGGGATTCGGCAAAGCCGAAGTTTTGCCGAACTTTTTAAAGATTCGAAAAAAATACATTGTTGTCAGACTTTGATATTGATCTTTGTTTATACATATATATATATATATATATATATATATATATATATATATACATATATATATATATATATATATATATATATATATATATATATATATATAAATGAATTTGTGCAGATGAATGAACCGTACTTAACCCAATGAATTAAAGAATCCAAGTTTTTCAGGAACCCGCCGCGCGATCTTCCGTTCTTGAGGCATAACATATTGAAGAGAACCACACTCGCAAAGGCTGACAAACACACAGTTACCATGTCGCCTACACCGCACCTCGCCGTAACCGCTGGTAGCACTTCACTGTACTATGGTAACTGCACAACCTCACGGCGTCCATTTGTAATCCATGACCCCGTCGCGTTCTTGCGCGTGCACAAACATGTGCCGAATTTTCGCCGAATCTTTGCCGACCTTTCCTTAAAAAGTTCGTCATGTGCCGAACTTTGCCGAATCTGAAGTTCGGCAGATTCGGTCCCATCTCTAGCCTCTCTCTTTCTTCAGTGCCACGTGGAAGATACCGCGGGGCAGGGAGCATACAGGACATTCCCATAATTCACAGTGCCTTTCGTATCACCAGATAGTTTGGAGTGCCCACCAAACAATAGGCCACTTTCAAAACTTCCTCCATGCAACACTGCACGCGTTGCAAGCTGGGGACCAGTTGACCACGGAGCGGAGTGGCATGGTTTCGGTTTTGATCAGTCAGCCGGTGTCTGTACTCCTGCAGCCAAGGACGTGAACTTCCAAGCCTGCATAACTTTGCTTCACGCGCATGCGAACGTGCTTGCACACCAGGGGCACCAGCAGGGACGTTGCAATCCATCGTTCTACATTTGCCCAGAATCCGGCCCCCCACATCGGGAACCACAAAAATAGTACCAAGTGTTTTTTTCGGCAGCGTGTTACGTTCGTGCCACCGTGCCACCAGGGGCGCTTCAATTTGAAAAAAAAAAAGATCTATTCGGAGATTTCGTTAGACAATTTAAAATATTCTCAGCATAAAGTTTTCACTGGAAAATTTTACATTTCGAATTTTTTCCACACTACAAAAACTCCCTTGTGGTTTCGCTGGTTCTAGTGAAGTACAAGAACTGCAACGCTCTCAGCTCACAACACTGACAAAACATGGCCGCGTCCATTGCTGATTGCTTTGACCGTTTCAACGGCGAGTAGCGTGCTACGGTCGCGTGAGTTTTCGTGTGGTCGGGACGACGGCCGCGGTAACAGTGAAGAACGGAAATGAACTCTACGGTTCTCCAACAGACTGTGTTGCGCCATTCATCATTCCTGCTCTTTCAAAGCAGCAAGTATGCGAAGATCGACACCAGACGTGGACCGTTCTTCAAAAATGCCCGGCTATGCAGCAACCCTTCTGTCTCTATGCAGAGGACCCATCAGTCGGTAGAACTGCAAGAGGAGGAATGGTGCGATATCCGTCGGTACAGCGTCACAGATTTTCCAGACCTGGCCGCCGACAAGGAAACTAAGCGACGCCTACGACCGCTACTGCGTCAGCACAAGCTGAGGCTACGCCACGGCTTATTAGCGCCGCTAAACTTGACTCGGGAAAACGTGATCGACTTGCTAGCTCAGCCATCGTTTACCAAGAAGTGTAGGTTCTTCGAGTACCTCGCGCACAAGGAAAGGAAGCTTCTCCGGGAACTTGAACGCGAGGCGGGCGTTGTAGTTCCCGCGACACCCGAGCCGAAGCCACCGAGCCTGCCGTTCGTGCCGCACACGGCAGACTACACGGACGAATACCGGCTTTTCGGCAATTGCTTTTTCATACGCCTCCGCGAAGCAGCCATAAACACCTTCTACGAGTCGAGACAGATACCTGCTGTGCTGTTCGGCCAGAGCCTCGTGTTCGATATGGGCTACGACGACCAGATGACGCCCAGGGAATGCAACAAAGCTGTCATTGATCTCAAGGCAGTCTACAGTCGGAATCGGTTCAGCCGCGACCCTTTTCATTTGCATTTTTGCAATGCGAACCCGAAGCACAGAACGACGGAGTTGCTGCACAATACGCTGTTTAAGCCCGCGAAGCACACTACGCTTTCAGAAGTGACAGAGCGCAGCTACCTCGATCTTTTTCCCAAGGAAAAGATCGTTTACCTGACTCCGGAAGGTAAAGAAACGCTCGATGTCTTCGACCACGATGCCGTGTACGTGGTCGGGGTGTTGGTGGATAAGGACACCAAAGAAGGCGCAACGTTTGCAAAGGCCATCCAAGAGGGAGTAAGGACAATGCGGTTCCCACACACCTTCACACTCGAATGGGAAAAGGATAAAGCCAAAGCATTGCACTTGACTGACGTTATGAAGATTCTGCTAGCATTGAAGCAAACAAACAATTGGGACCATGCTCTTAAATTTATTCATCCCAAGCTAAATGTGTCCTAGCAGTCAAATATAATAAGCATCTGCTTATTTGGTGATAAATACAAAATAAATAAAATTTGCATGTACCATTTCTAAGATACATACCGACGGTTTAATAGCAGTGTGCGACAGCTGCTATTGTACAAGCACAAGGTTGTGTAGAATGCATGCTTCAAACACTAAAACCTTTATATTTGTAGCATTATCTTTTAAATAAATTTAATAGCCCTACTCATGTCTTTAAAATAAAAGCATATTGACGAGCTTCTCCAAGTTGTTTAGTTTGCTACCCTTGGTCTGAATTTTGGAGAATGTTAATTTTATAATCCACTCTCTCCGTATTTCAGTTTTGAGGATTTTCGGTACGAAGCTGTGTGGTCGTGGTACGAGCGAGTGCGAACATTCCTTCGAGTGAACATGCTATACTCCGTTTCACCTTATGTTGTACCGCAACGAAGGCTAGAAGTGAGAGCTCATAGCGTTGGCAGCTGCCCTTAATGCACGAGAGCTTGTGCCGCAGAGATCTTCCCTAGAGCAGGGAGCTCGCGCATGTAGCCTTTTCTGCGGTACATCGTAAGGTGAAATGGAGTATAGATCCCAAGCTTTTGTGCCCATTCTGGCATATTTTTTGCCGTTGGTATAAAGAGGCTCCTCCCCACTCCTTCCTACTATCGCCTTTTCCTTCCTCTGGTTTCCTACCAAGAAATCCTCGATTCTCTTGGCACTTCTGCCAAGAGAGGTGGATTTGCAAACAAATAGAAGCTCCTGCAGCACATACAGAACATGTTGCTTTAAAGGGCAACTCCGGCTGAGAACAAAAGCGATACCAGTCACCAAAGCGACTGGTATCGCTTTAGTGACAAGAAATATGATCACAGCCAAAATATAACGTCAAAGTGAAGCCGCATACTCCACCAAAACAGATTTCAAAGATGCGACCAGCTGCTCTTTAGAGGGCGGCAAGCAGGTCAGCTTTTAGTCAAGCAACACTGGACGATGCGCACTGCAGCAGTCCAGTGACGTCATGTCGTGGTGGCGCTGCGATTGATTCCGCACGTTGTACCGCGTACCGCAGCACCCCCGTGACGTTGCGTCGCAGCCGTACAGCTGATGATCAGTGTTGCTATCCCTTTCTAGCAATAGTTTCGGTTTAGCCGTAGACGCAAGAAGCCAAACTCTGAGCCGCGACATCTATAAAACTACACACAATATCGCAAAAAAAGAATTATACCTTGTAATTCAGGGACACTGACTCAGCTGAAAACAGTCGTAATCCCAAATTCGAAAATATTGACCGGAGTTGCTTTTTAATTGGCACCATCCTATGGCAAAACTTAAGAAGCAGCATACATTGTCAGATACAAACACAAAAAACATAAAAATGAACAAGTAAATAAACACCATATGTTCATGCAGAGCTGGTGAATGCAGCCTGACAAACACTAGGTGCTTCCTTTATTTCAATTTGATACAGTTCAAAGGAAGAGCTCCAAGAAAAGCTGAAGAGCTTGGGTAGTTTAAAAAGTGGTCCTCTCCATATTTCATAGAAAACAACACGTGTAGATGCATAGGTATGTTTTTCCATGTGTGCAAAATGTGCACTTTCAGTGCAGGGGGATTACATTCCCCCTAACACAAAGCCTCAGACCAGCCAAGTCAATGTCCACATGGTGCACAGTTACCCTTTCCATGCCCTGGAATAAAGAAAAGGCAGCAGTGTAAAACTCTTGTACACTGTCATACCCTTAATGTTCACGAGTCCGATTTTCATGAATTTCGAGAATTAGAAAATTTGCCAACTTTAAGAGCACACAACTATTTCTATTGCCCACAGACGAGAATTCACGAATATAGCCTTGCTGCCCAATTCGTGAAAAATTGAGGCCGCAAAGATAGTGTTTTAAAATATTTCCCATTAAACTTTGAAGATCACACACCAACGATTCTAGCACTACTCATTCTTGGTTACGTAGCATCCAATTATCTATATAGTTTTCGTAGATACCAGGTTATGTCATACTTATCAAATACCACCAGTTTTTCCCCTAGAGGCTTCTATCACACATCATGGTAGCAATCTTTATTTTAGACGTACAAAAGAGGAAAAATGCCTCAATACTGCGATTAGTTTGATAATGCTCCCGTCTTCCAAAAACGCCTATAATAGCAGCCACGCACTTTAACAGCAGATAAAACTTCAACACACCTCGGCATTAGCCAGGAGTTTCCTGACCGAGTCGACCATGTGCGGCTGCTTCATCAGGGCACAGAGGAATCCACCTCCACCAGCTCCAAGCAAAAGTTGCCCGTGAACATGAGGACTGAGCAGGTCCATCAGACGCCGAACGAACTCTGGTTCGCAACCCACAGCGAGCACCTTTTTGAGGCTCCAGTACTTGCCCAGGCTCTTGCCGATTGCCTCAAAGTCCCCTGTCAGAATTTTAAATGGTCGAAATGGCAATACTCTCACCGGATGTCGCGAAGGCATTCACTCGCATAGCCCTTACACCCTGTGAGTTCTGGCACACTCCAACATGTTCAATTTGTGGCAATAACGTTTGGTAATTTGTGAAAATTACCAGGTGCAGATTTTAACTGTGTTACACAGTATGCTAGCTCTGCACCATCAGAGTGTGAAATAGCTACACAATGCAAATTATCAAACTAGCTACCATGCTTTTGAAGTTAAACAATTAGAAAGAGGAGACATATAGAGGACGATACAGATGGGAGAATCTTTGAGTAAATGGAATTCAACTGAGACGGTCATAAAACACTCTGGAGGAAAATCATAAATTATGACATTAATAAAACAATCAATTGATAGGTTCTTTGAAGTGTGCTTGGGCTTGGTAAAGGTTGAAGGAAGAGAATAACCCACTTAAAGGGGCACTGATACATCGAAATCATATTTTTTTTTTTTATTATCTGTAACGATTGAAAACTATGCCGGGACATTACCCTCAAAATTCGAAACTGGGGAATTCAGTATTTCTGAATTAAAAAAACAATTTCCAAGTGCCGAATTTGAAGTTCCTGCGCGATCCGCGCCAGTGCAGTAAATAAAATTTTGTGGTCTCCTGCGACTCGACTTTCTTTCGGACCTCCGCTCCACGCTTCGAAGCAAAGCGCCGTTGGCCGTTGCCGCCGCGACCCGAAGCGAGGAGGAGGTGAGGAGGCAGGATAGAAGGGAGCCGCCGCGGGATAAAACCGGTTTCTTCCCCGACTCGCCGGTCACCCTCTGCTTGAGCGCCGCCAAGTTTTCCGAGGGAGGATACACATCCAGGAAGCGACATCTCACCGAACTCTGATTTTTGGTATTTCAAAAAGAGGAGCCGTAGTGCGTTCGCAATTGCGTTAAAAAACATGTTTTACGATTGCCGCTATTAAATGTTATAGAAATGTCGCCTACAAAGCTCCTAAATTTCCCGATTTTTGGCGTCACCGATCAAAAGAAGCAAGGAGGTGAGCGCGGGAGATATAAACGGCAAAAATAAAAAGGCGCGCGCGCGTGCGGGAAAATTTTTTTTCGTGAGGCGGTTTTTTTTGCGAGTCTATGACTACAACTTGCATCGTTTTAGACAATTAAAAAGGATACGACCTTTGGGGTGCCAGTGCCCCTTTAAAGCAGACTTGAAACGGCCTTAAAGCTATTAAATTATCACTATATCACTAAATGCTGATGTGATAAATACATAAAAAGCTTACCTGACAAGAAAACGTCTCTCACACTTGTCTCACACTGATGCAAAAGCTCCCTGAAGCATGCAATCACCTTGGTATCCCTTGTGTACCAGTTCCTTATGACTGTCTGAAAAAATACCAATTCCTCATCTTTAGGCCCGATTACATAACCTAAATTCGCTTGGCATGCCATATTCAATTCTGCTACCTGACTACATCATAAATATTTCGTTATGATCAGGACAAAAAAAAAATACTAGTATGTACAGTTGTGGCAGGCAAGATTTGCCACAATGATCACTTCACCCAAGCTCAAGCCTACTATCTAGGAAGCTTGAGGCCAAAATGTGAAACACTATTCTATTTACATATAGATCCTGGGTATCTTCAAAATACTGAATGTTTCCAGCAGCTCTCTTCAATTTTTATTCCTGTTCTTGTAATCGGCCATGGAAAATTTCTGATGGCTAATGTTGCAAAAATGGGCGATCTCGGCACAAATTCAAGTCAATGAGTTCAAGTTGGATGAATTCCGAAGCACGCTTTGGGCAACATACACTTTCATCTTACACCCAACAGAAAGCCATACCTGGAGTAGATTTTTGGCCAGCCTCACTTTGCCAGTGTAGAGGAGCACGAAGTGAGCACTCAGCTGTGCCAAAAGCTGCTTGGTCAGAGGGAAAGCTTCAATGTGAATGCGAAGGGGGAGTCCAGGGTTTGAGTAGCCCCGGACAAGGCCACCAGTGACCCCACCCACTTGGTCTTGCCATCCACCACCGGTTGTGAGGAGCTGTTCCACACGCAGAACCTAAACACCACAACTTGGCAGTTAAGCATTTTGCTTCTCAATCCTTCGAATGGGTTTACACCCGAGACAGTCAGTCGCCCAAAGGTAATGCGGAGCTCAAGTTCGTCTGCTTATTGCACAGGGGTTGCGATGATGTTAGAACGCCGAGCTCTTATTGGCCGATTAAAAAAATAGTGGGTAGATCTCAAGGCATCTAGCATTGAAGTCTACCCACTATCCTTCCAATCAAAGCCAATCAGAGCACAGCGTTGTTCTGAGATCACCGCAATTCCTGCACAAGAAGCAGACGACTTACTCTCTGCATTGTTAAAGGCTCATATGCACCTCGTGCTTTCCCAGTTTGCTCCCTTCCCCATTTTCCACATTCTCTCCAGCTCTCATCTTGCCCCAACATGGCTCCCCTCAACGTTCAGGAGATGAGGACACGAGAAAACCGAGGTTGCATGTCAGCCTTTAAGAGAGAGCCAACAATAATCGTGGCTCACGCAGTGGATCAGGGAGCTTTTGTCAAAAGTCCAGCCTACTGCTGCCCAGAGAGCTGCCACAATTGCACTGGCCAGGATGCTGCTAGTCCCCAATCCTAAATTTGAAGGAAACAAAAAGAGAAAATCATCCATCTTTCCAGCACTTCTTCGCAAAATTTGTTTTCATTTTTTAACCCGGAAAACTGCACACCGGGAATCGGTCCTGGCATGGGAGAAATGGAAATTTCCAAAGCAATTAATTTGAGAGACCTGATCCTTGAGGAAGGTTTGACCAGCTGTCAAGTTCAATGCCTCCACCGTGCTGCTCCTTAAGCTGCTTCGACAGTGACAGATTCTCGTCTGTAATCTGTACAACGTTGGATCCAACAAGGCAGGCTTTCAAGAGTGCACCTGCAACAAGTACATGTCCCAGCTAAACTTCACACTAAATTGTACGATCTTAGAGCGCTTTTTGGAACGCGGGCCAAACCGCTCCTGTAAAAAGTATGCGTGGCACAGAAAACAAGGTTGATGTCGATATTGGTCTATGCCAAAGGGCGTAGAATTTAGGAAAATGAATAATGTTAATTATAATTAGCTTCTTCGTTATTTTCGAGTAATTAACTTTTTAATGAGTAAATTTAAAGTTATGGTTTCCACTCAGCTTTTTGGGCATCATAAAAAAAACACTAAATTGGTGCACTTTACAAAAATATAAGGCACACAAAGCATTTTATGGCACTCCCCCCACGAAACTACTAAATTTGCAAGAACTATAAAAATCCCTGGAGAAAGGGTACAAAGGACAAACACAGATCTCTAAACAAAGCTAGGTGAATGGTGCATGCTGAAAGAATCCGCCTGGTCCTGGAAACGAACCAGGGAGCTCTCCATTTCCAGTGGAGTGCTCTACCAACTGATCTAAACAGGAGTTAGATGTCAGTAGAGCAAACAGCTTTTATCAGCTGCCACCAGCCTAACACCAACAAGAGTGAACGGCCTGCATTTCAAGGTTATGATGATAATGCAATTAATGCAAAGGTGCAGGTGAGCTGGACAGAATAAACAATAATAATCCTTGGAGAAGGGGAACAAGGGGGACAGAGGACAAACACAAATCTCCAAACACAGCTAGGTGACTGGTGTATGACTAAAAAGTTCCGTCTGGTCCTGGTATCATACCAGGGACCTCTACATTTCCAGTGGAGAGCTATACTAACTAAGCTAATCAGTATCGAGTCAGGCGTTAGTAGAGCAAACGGGTTTTATCAGCTGAAACCAGTCTAAAACCAACAAGGGTGAACGGCCTGCATTTTAAGGTTAAGATGATTATGCAATGCAAAGGTGCAGGTGAACTGGACACAAAAACTATTTTCAGTGTACACCAGTCACCTAGCTGTGTTTGGAGATTTGTGTTTGTCCTTTGTCTTCCTTGTTCCCCTTCTCCAGGGATTATTATTGTTTATTCTGTCCGGCTTACCTGCACCTCTGCACTAATTGCATTATCATCAAACAAATTTGCATGCATTTTCAAGTTTCAGTTTCCTATGAAAGCGCATCTCCACGCCACTGGTCCTGCTCCCACGTGGCCTAAGCATGCAACCAATACACACCGCCACGGATTCTTCATATGATGGAAGGTTAATCTAAAAATCAAAGCTTATTCTTGCAATGTCATTCAAACAGCAAAGCGTGTCATCTGGCTGGTTCGCACCACACTTTTTTAGGCAAGGCAGCTTTAGTCACAAGCTTTGGTCACAGGTTACTATCTTGTCCTTTATTCTACAACCCACAATCATTCTTTTGATCGCCCAAATTCATTTACTAGCATAAAAAAAGATACTTAGTTTCGGTTTCCCGGGGAGCTCCTCTCTCAGCTCTACAAATACGTCACGATAGATAACCAATAGAGAGTATTTGTTGTCTGTGCAAGATGGCGACGTAACCTGGACTTGATGAACGAAGCCAGAACGTCAGATATCGCTCCAACAACGGGACCTTAATGATGTCCTGCACGCAAGTCAATGGATGACATCAGACGTCTGATATTATGCTCAGATTACTGTAACATGGCCAACCTCAATGAGCTTAGCGCCGCCTATTACACCGCGGTTGACTTTTAGGTTATGAGCCGTACGCCGACACTGTATGTTGTTTGTGCTACCATAATCTCCTCTGCAACTGTATGTCATGCAAAAAAGTAAAGTTTGAGGGAATGGTCGGCCATTTTGATCGGTTGAGCCGTGTAACGATACGATCGTCAAATGACGAGCCGTGAATGTGCTATTGCTTCGACCATAAAATTGCTGATCCAATCACAGCAAAAGAATGAGGACGCTGGAAATATAAATAAATTGAATCGCTTTTGGGTGCTTGAGGGAGATTGTGGTAATGGAAAATTAATGGAAAACTTACGACCATAAAGCCAGTTGTGGAAAAACTGGTACAACGCCCTTGGACTTCACTTGCAAAAATAAGCGGCCAAAAACGGACGTGCTCATAGTCGAAAAGTCATGCGCACGTGTCCTTCCTTGCCACTGATTTTGCTAAGTTCTGGGTTCAAATCCCCTTGAGATTATGACTTCTTTATTGCTTGACTTTATGTTTTACTATATTTCTAATCCACAACCAGGTTTCACAACCTCATTCCACAATGAATGCGAGCTGCAGCGGGACAAGCAGCATGACTGCGATGGTTAACAAACAACAGAAGACCCAGATATGTTTGATACCGAAACTATCGCGTTCACGTGATGTAGTGGCGTCTAACTAATACAAGAACGGCAATAAATAATTCAATCTATTTATTACTCCCAATCTAATATTTGAAAATTATATAAAGTTGAATATCTGTTGAACCTTTTTACATAGCTACCGTGACATTTTGTTGCTCATGGTGCTGTAGGGTGTCGCATGGTCGTTTCAGACAGTCTAAAACGCACAATATTTAAACATGGTTTATAAAATGCAGACGCTATATCTCGCCATAATACTTAGGAATCAACGCCTTTGTGGTTTAATGAATATATGAAAATTAAAACCCGGCAAATGCACTTTCTTTTCTTGTGTTAAGTGTACTAATTTAGTGGTTTTCGATGATGCACAGAAGATCTTTAATTGAAACCATACCTTTAAATTTATTGATTATTAAAAAGTTAAATACTGAAAAATAATTAAGAACCTAATTATACTGAACATTATTCATTTTTCTAAATAGGCTCTTTGGCAGAAAGCGAAATGACATCAACCTGTTCTCTTTGCAATACTTTTAGCGAGAGCGATATAACCCATATTTCGAGAAACACCCTGTATATATAATCAATCCACACAAAATGAGCGAAAGATGACAGAAATACCAGCAACATGTTGTCACACCTTACCTCTGGCTCCAGGTTGATTGTAGTCAAGAAGGTCAGCCATGTTTCTAATGGTTATTGTCTCAGGCACATTGTGGTGCAGTAGCGTGAGAATGATGTGTGGTCTGAAAAGACGTGGAAGGCATAAAATATCTATTCAACTATGCAGCCTTTGTTTCATTTACTTACTCAGTCAACCTCCTTGCCTTGGCTCCAATTGGTCTCTGAAGCAAAACAAATAAGGATGTGTAAGTCATTAGATGAATTTGCAAAGGACATAAGAACATGCACCATTCATTGCAATGGGAAAGGTAACAAGTGTCCCTTGAAGTGAGCTTTCCATTGCCAGTAAATGAAAAATGGCATTAAAATTTTGACCACCATAGCAAGGCCAAGGCAAGAAATCCAGTAGCAAATAATGCCTTCCACAGTCTAGGTAGCAGCTTTTCTGGTATAAAGTTACAGCATGAGTACAACATGCAACAGCATGAGCTGATGACAATTGAATCACGCGGCAAACCTGAGCGAGGCAGGTGCGTGTGTGCTAGGCCACGCAAGCTTGTGGTGGCTCAAGGCATGCAAATACAGCAAAAGTGTTCAGCATCTTTCGCAATCCTGTAGGCTGGTCATATTTTCATTCTACCCATCAAATATTACAGGGCTGCATTGAAGTACTCACCTGTCCGTCAACGAGCACGGCCACATTGATTACAGAGCCGCCCAATTCATAGCAGATAGGCGGAGTGTCTGTCCACCCACCAAACAGGTCCATGCGAGCCGGGCATTCGGCCACAGCCCAGACGTCATAGGCGAGGCCTTCTCCAGTTGGCTTTGCAACGACAAACTGAATAGGACAAGAAAAATGCCACGCTTTCGGTATCAGCTGTTGGAGCAACCCTCCTTACTGCAATGAGAAAAACCAACCAACGCAAGAAGGTAGTGCAGTAGGTCTCAATGTCTCAATTTCAACACTAAACAGGGAATAACAGTGCACTTGACTTAGTGGATCCCAAGCTGTGGTCTGTGGACCCCTGGGGTACGCAGCGACTATGGTGGAGGTCCACACTGATTTGAGGTTCGGTCCACTGGGGACAAGTAAGGCACTGAAGAGAACTGAAATCGTTGGACAGAACATCTTTGCAGCTATAGTAGAACTCTCACGATTCATAGTGCGTTCTTGCTTGCTTCCAGTTGTGAGTGCATTTTTACTACAGGCGTTCTTGGAGAAGGCACTCAGACATATTTTAACATTTTCACTTTCTGCTGATGTCTGGACTCATCCACAAGATGCTAAAGACAATAAATGCGAGTTATATTCAACCAGATAGACTTCAAATTTCTCAGATTTATGGCGACATACATTCTTCGGTGCATGTTCCTCAATGTCAATAAACATATTCAAAATAACACCTAAGATAGTTGGGGGTCTGCAACAATGCAAAGTTTGAAAAACACTGCACTAGACAATAAACACACCACTTAACTGCGCTTGTCCTTGTCCACTCCTTCGTGTTCGTCCTCTCTGCTTTCGCATACAAGTTTACTCAATACCACTTAACACATACAAAAGACCAATTCCTACCAAATTACATCTTTAGTGCAAGAATAAATGTTACAATCGAACTGAGATGAAAAACATGGCTTTGCCAAAATGTGCAGGTTTACAATAGACGATTCGGCAGTGCATAGGAACTATTTCATACATATTTTAAGAAAATCATAGATCAACCGAGTATGTTTAAAGGTAGTCATGCAGACTACAGTTTAAAGGGATGCTGAACAGAAAATCAAATTTCAGAAAACAATGCAGAATCGATAGGCGGGACGCTACAAATCCCAAAACGTCACTCATAAAGCGGTACCTCCAACGGATCGTCGTATTTTTGTAAAAGAAGAGTGCGCTCGCACAAGGCCGAAAAAACATGTGACCTCGCGATTCTCATTTCCTCCTCTCTTCGCTTTGACTCCGCGAGGGCGTGGAGAGGAAAGGGAGCCCAAGGCCATTTCTCCTCCCTCTCAACTCTTCTGCGATAAGATGACGTCAACAGTCTCCCTCATTCGCTCCTTTATTTTCCAGAAATACGGCCACGCGCTTGAGATATGGCTATATGAGTGATGTTTTGTGGTTTATGGCGCCCTGTTGAACACATCTCCAAGCTTATTTCGTGAAACCCGAATTTCGGTTCAGCATCCCTTTAACATGTGACAAAGCCCATCATTTTTCATTTGGAAGCCCTTGTGCTACATTTCTTCTATGTGTGCTCCCTTATTTCTTATAACTCAAAAACTCAATTTTTTATATGTACAATTACTAGCATACTGCAAGGTGCAAAGTCTTATATATGCACACCTAGAAATATTAAAAAAAATGATGCACACAGAGTAGGATACTTTGTCGGTTCTGCTTTCTATCTTTCTAAGTTCGCTACCACCATGCACTGCCCCTTTAGGAACTTTTGCTTACCATAAAATATCGGGGGGAGCGCCCACCCCATTTTCACTGAAGATTCCATTAATCTAGACATAGGCCCTTATCCAGTCAAATCAGGCGGTTAATTTGCAGAATTCCCAAGTTTGGGAAATGTAAATAGTGGGCGCTTGAACGAAGTGGGCACTTCTGAGGTATTTTATGGTAGCTGTGCTGTCTTTTTGCGTGCGTACATGAAACAACTCTTGTAACATATACAGGGTTATTTGCTACCTGAAAAACAGACTAGTACATGCCCCCTCCCCCCCCCCCACACACACACACTAACACCTTGTTTGGTGTGTGTGTGTTAGTGTCCCGCATCAGCTAGAGCTGGTCCCGAAATATTTGCTCGCTTGACCACGCATATCCTAATCCCTGATACATTGTTGAAGTGAAGACAGAAACGACTCCAAAGAGCCGATTCAGTAATTTGCAGTTTGCATCCTGATATCCGTAGATAGCTAAAAAACAAAGGCAGTGACTATTTTGACGTCCACATTCAAAATAATTTTAAGTATTATTTTGACATCCCTGACGTGGTGTCAGGAATGTCAAAGTATTTCCCTGTCTTCAGGAAGTGGCTTCCTGAAGACAGGGAAATATTTTGAAAAACTATTATTGCGTCCTCCGTCAAAATATTTTTTTTTATTATTTTGACGTTTAAAACTTGGAACTTTGGACAGCTTTAGAGCTTCGGAGTCCGGACTGGAAAGTGATCTAAAGTGGCGTTCAAAAAAATATAATCTTGTTTGCAGGCGGTGTTGCAGTTCAACCTGCATTTTCCGAAAAACAAAAGTCGTGCAGTCGACTGCAGTTTTTATAGGCCACACGTAATGTTTGCTTGGTTGCGCTAAGCATTACAGAACGCGTGACAACGTTGCATTTCATGATTTATTTCGTGTTTTATAGACAAAGAAGCTTAATCCTGTGTCATAAAATTTGTAGTTGACTGGACGACATTTGATGTCAGAAAATTTGTAGTTGACTGGACGACATTTGATGTCAGAAAATCTGTGTATCTCGTACAACCACGGCGCAGATCGCAATATGAAAATGTTCTGCTCAGTGCGTCAGAATCTTTGTTGTTCTTTCGCACCGGTCAAGAAACATCAAGGGAGCAATGTTTGCATTCACAACATTTTATGTAACCTCCTGATCGTTTCGTAGTTAACCCACTCGATATACACGAACCAAAAAGAAAGTCTAAATTAAACAGCGAACTCACGAAACCCGGTTAAAGACAGGGTGGGAGCCAAATGCAAAGCGAGACTGCAACCATACGAAGACGTGCTTGCACGGTAGTGGAGGCGTGGAGGCACAGAAAACGTGCCACAACTCTCAGTGTTACCTAGTGCATGCACTTGCATGTGTTACGTGCAGTAGAGGGGTACCCAACTCGGCTTTGTTGTGGATTCAATATTTTAGGAGAGACGTGTGCCGAAATGATGTGTGATTGCTCATAACATCGACGCCGGGCGTGCCACGTGCGAAAGGATTGGCTGTCGAGCCAGTCAAGCACACACACGCTGAATAAGATTTTCAGCGCCGAGTAGGATCGAAACCTCTCAGGCATGGGACACAGCGATACCTGACTCTGTCAACACGTCAACACAACAGCGACAACACCATCAGGAACCAAACAACGCAATGGCTATCACAGCGACGGCTGCCTTTGACGGGGGACGTTGAAATAATAAAGCCGCTATTTTGGCGTTTTACAGAAGTGCCGTTACAGACGCCAAAATAATATTTAAGATATTTTGACAATGAACATAGAAATAGTCACTACCAAAAACAAATGCAGCAATCGGCTGGCAGAATGAGTGGTCGACAGCCTTCTTCCACTCCAGTCCAGAGGCTGGGTAAGTCCTGTGATGCGATCGGCACCTGATGTGATATCCACTAGTATAATGCCCTTCCGCCAAGTCGGGGAGTAACATACAAGTATGATGATAAAGTGACAAGTTTGCATTTACAATCAAAACGCCACGCTATATGGATTTTCTTGCATTATGAGGCTGTAGGAGAGATGGGGGGGACTTTTAAAAACATCAAAGGCCATTGTCATGGGCCTCTGTGAAGATGAACCTGCTTCCCCGTTTCAAATCTAGAATAACAAAGTATAACAATAAAAAAGCACTACATTTGCACCCTTACCTGTTCAGCCGTCAGCACAGCCCTGCGTATGAGAACCTGAAGGGCCCCTTCATAATGCCTCGCTGCTCTTATCATGCGATCAGAACGATCCATCCACTTGAGACGCTCCTGCTTCAGGGCTACTGATCCGTTGTGTGTGTCTCCTTCCTTTTTGAAAAACGAACGTTCACAATGCATTAGTCAGGCAGTCCACAAACATGCTATGCTATTATTAAAAAACACAAAATGCCAACCACAAGACATTTTGGTCTGCAATAATGAATTGCTACAAATCAGAGTCTGCCTACCTCTAGAAAATGGAAGGCAGTTGTCCAGGCCTTATTTCCCCCAGGTCCACTTCTCAAACCTCCAGACTTGCCAGCCATAGTTCCCAAATAGTCAGCAATGCAAGAAAACACCCTACAAGCCACAGCAACATCTTTGTTTGCTGCTTCGCTCTCTGCAACTGAAACGGAATGTGACAGTGCAAAGATGTAAACAGGAAGCTTCAAACGTTTTGCTACAAACTATTTCCAAAAGGACAAATTACAGGGGAAAACAACTGTGATAACTTTGAAGAGACATGTTGACTGAGCACTGACTGAAAAAAATGAGAGGAATAGGCAAAAACATTTATTTGAAAACATACAGAGGACAGGAAAAAATTTTAGTCACTCATCTACCCTTTTAGTCACTCATCTACCCTAATATCTCGAGAGATACCCAGCCTCATTTCCTGCCCAACTTTCTAATTTTGGAGAAAAAAACAAAAAAAACAAAAAAAACAAAAAACACAGAAAGAGAGCACACTTCTAGCAATTGCATTTTTTTTTGTTTCATATAATATGTTCCAAGGGGCTGGCAGGCAATATGAACTTTGAAACAACAATAGCATGTTTATTCAACAACTTACAAAGCAATTGAATAAATAAAGCTCTTCCTTTGTTGCTTGAATATGATACTCATGACACGGTTTAGGGCAGGTGGTGTAGGCATTAGTGGACAAAGAGCCAAGTCTACCATTTTTTCGCAGCTTTTGTTCGGGGGTTGCCATTTTGAAACTTAGCCTACCTGCTTCTTCTACCTCATCTGTCTTCTGTTGTGGGTCGATTGTCCTTCAGAACGTTACGATAGTCCCGAGAAAGTGCAAGAATTAGAACATGCAAATCTCTGTATGCATTCATAACAAATGGCAAGCCGACACTGGAATGGTGAGAATTTGGACTCTCTAACCTTCGATATACCATAGTTACTCGAGTAATAGCTGCACTGTTTATGAAGAAAACCTGTGGGGTTGCTTTTCCGCGGAGCACGTGGACTACCAATCACCGCGATCGACAGCATGACTCCAGTGGTTTACAGGACGGAGATAACGTCTTTGCGCGAAGATACCATCTATGAAGATTGCATTTGCATGGAGAATCGTGTTCTCGATCTAATTATTCGCTATGTTATTTATGCGCAACGCAATGATTGGCTGTATATGTGCTTTGCGGGAAAGTAGAAGCAAGGGCCTTGTTCATAAATAGTGTGGCTATTACTCGAGTAAATATGGTAACTATAAAGGTTCTGGACCTTAAAGGGCAACTCCACTCAATACCGAAAATTTCAGGATAATGAGTGATTTCACATTAAAAAGCACTAATGAAAGGCACTTGTCATTTGCTTCGCGAAAACTGGGATATACATTGTCAAATCTTACTTTAAACATGAGCAGAAATCGAAACCAAAACTTTGGTTCCGTACGGCAACATTGACCTCGGGTCGCCAAAAACATGGTTATCAAGTGGTATGAGATGTCACGGGATCCTCTACGCAATGAGGGGCGGGATTGGGGCAGGCCGGCAGGCCACCATTGGGGAGGGCATGGGCCAGGCGCAAGTGTCTTCTGCCATGAATGGTGCGGTGTCTCTGCACCTCACCTATCACCATATTTTGGTGTCTACGACATTTGACGACGTCTGCACAACTGCGGTATCAGTCTTCGCACGTAGTGTGAACGAAACTCCTGAGACAATAATCACAAACATTGAGACGACGACAGAGGTTGTGACGTAAGACACGGCGGTAACGGTGGGACAGCTCTTAAGAAGCGTGCTGTGCAGGCGCGCTATGCAAATCACGTGGACACTACTGATCACCGAGAGGAAACGCTGCCGACGTCACCCATTACGCTTGCCCAGAGAAGTAAAAACAAACGAGACGGGGCAATAGTGATGATATTTCGCTCAAAAATGGCTATGCCAACGCCATAGCTTCGACTGCGCTGTTGTTTGTACCTCAATTCACCCGCTAGAGTCATCCGATTTCGGCAACCTGGCGCGTTGCAAAGTTTGCCGGTCCATTTTAGAAACATTTAGACAGAACTAGGTCTCAAAAGGAAACTGAAGCAGTTCTGTATTTGAGTAAAAACAATTAAATCGTCTGCATCTGGCTTCCAGAATCACAAACATGTTTTGCAAAATTTGGTGAACGAAAGCTGCAGAAAATAATTTTCAAAATACCACTGAAGCCCCTCCTTCCCGGGGCGTGACGTCATATTAAGATTTTTTTTAATCTCCGCTCTCACGCATCTTCAGCGCCTGTCAAAGCTATGCATGCGCACTCTTGCTATTTTAAAACAAAGGTCAGAAAAAGATGTCACGACTGGTGTCAGTGTGGGGGAATATACCTGGCAAGCTTGCAACTGCACGCGCTGCCCACACAAGCGACACGCGCTAGGCGGCCCAAAGATCCTACTATGTTTGATGTCACGACTGGATGGAAGTTTTTTCTGTTTTCTCGCATTTAGTTACATCTTCAGGGAAAACAAACGTGATATTCAAATTCATGGGAGAAAATTACGCCAGAAGTCACCTCTAACTCGTTTTTCTCCAAGAAGTGTTTCAGACGTGTGGTCTTCCTAGGTGATACTGAAGAGTACTGCACTGTTTTTTCAAAACAAAAATGAAGCAGAGTTGCCCTTTAAAATACTATTACACAAGCTAGACTGCTACTGCAATCTTGCAGTATTCTAATTCAGGCAAATAATTAATGGATGGCAAAGACGAAAACTGTCCAGTAAGTATCTAAGAGAAAACATAGATGAGACAAGTTTTCAGACAATCAACGCACCAGAGTCAAGAGCATCCATTAAAGCTGCTTCCCGGCTGCAGGCACAAGCCACACTCATGTAGGGGGTGATCAAGACGTCTGACCCTTCAGTCAGGGATTTTTTTATCACCGAGCTTGCAACAGCAATAAAGGTGTCCCTATGAGAAGGGTCACAATTATTTTATCACTCACTTTTATCATTTAGACACTGTACACATACACTTCCGATTAAACTACCTCCAAAGTGTCCCGTGCAACGCACCAGCGTTTCGAAAATTGCTGTTTCAAGTCGTGACATGCCATGATTTCTGCCAAAGACAACCTCTCTTTTTTCCTCCATCTGAACGAGCAAAAAGAGATGAACATGAAAGACTGGAACCAGAATCTCATTTTCCACAGAGAGCTAGGTGTCTGCGAGACTAAAATGCGGACCTGGTCAAAAGTTCCTTGTCAGACTTGCCACTACAAAGCCACAGTGCATCCTGAAGGCTCTCCTCACCGACTGTGAACAGCTTGGCAGTCAAAAGGCAACTGCTTCCTCCAACCTAGAGCAATAAGGGTCACTGTTGAAACCAATAGGATATTCCATACTGATCGACAATCTGCCAAACAAAGTAACTATTCGTCAGAAAACGTAACAATGGAAACACAAACCTCTGAAAGAGACCACAAGTCCTCCATCGAAATCGAAAGATGTTCGCAGAAGTCTGTCAAGGGACGATTGAATATCGTGAAGCCTCTGTCAGTACATGAAACCTTGCAAAAAAAAAAAAAGGATATTGGAGACATGTACCTCACACATTAATATGCTAGAAAAAATTATCACAGAAGAAGCAAGATTACCGTAATGTTGTCACGTGCCCCAAAGGCAACAGCGACTGGAAATGTTTCTGCACAATCAGCCAACCAAACTTCATACTGTAGCAGACAGGCACCGTCAGGAATATGTAATGCCTGTAAAATGAACAAGCATATTTTGGCAATAAAACCCAACACATGTGCCGCATCAGTGGAAATGTAGTGTCATTGCAAGTGCCTAATTGTTAGGCTGTGTCAGCACATGACTTTCACTTGTTTATATCAGCTATGTGTGTCTGCATTCAAGCATTTCATTGTTATCGGGGTTCAAAAAAGTGCATCCCTTGTACCGATCGTTGTCACGTTTGTGTTGGAACAAAGCATTAACCCTGTTCGAGGTGGGGTTTAGGCCGCACGTCCGGAAGCCTCCTGGCTTGAGACGACGTCCATTCCCCGAAGTGAAGAACCCAGGGGTTCAGTGGAGGTGAGAGACTTGGTAACGTAACGAACGGTTTAATTACATGGTAGCGATACAGTCGTCAAATCCGAGAGAACAACGGAGCAGCCTCACGCTCCGCCTTATATAGGGTCCGTTTCTTTCTCACTCCCCGCCAGGGCAGCCAGTGCGATGCAGCAATGTCCGCCGACCAGTGCAACGTAGCCAAAGTTCTCCGCAGTTAGGCCATGCCTCTCTCCCTTTCCCGAGCGCACCAACCACCATGCACACACACATGTCCCGCTAACGTCACGGGTGCGTTGAGACTTGTTGCCGCAGGCCCCGTCACGCAGGCGACGGTCCCGGACTCGTCGGGACTCGTTTCGCGCAGGCCCCGACAAGCGGGCGACGGTCCCGGACTCGTCTTGACTAGTTTCCGCAGCGTTGAAACTCGGAAGAAGATCGCCGAAGGTTCCATTCTTAACAGCCCACACATGGAGTTTGCGGATAAAACAAATAGCAATGAAGATGGAATAAGGCTCCAGACGCCGACAATGACTGCAACTCTGGAAAAGTAAGTAGAGTTCTGCCCAAACTCTGGCAACATTGACCTTGAAAGATGGGAGAGCGGAGGAAAAAATTACCACATCTCCACGTGGTGGATGATGTTGATTGGAGCGAAGCTCTGGTAGTGCTGATGATACTGATTTTATTGTTCATAGGTAGTGCTGATTTTTTATTGCTCATAGGTAGTGCTGAGTTCCAGGTTGCATTTCAACTTCATTATTACTGCTTTATGGTCGGTGAAATGCAGAGTCATGCATGCAAAGTTTAACGCGATTATATACGCATTAGACCGCAGTGCCCTCTCCTGTATAGACGTTGAGCGGCTACATGCAACATTTCATCCATGACAGAAACCCCAGCTCTTGAGCTACAACCACATCTCAGAGCCCCCTACTCGTCCCATAGTCGTGGCCAAGTGGTTAAGGCGATGGACTAGAAATCCATTGGGGTCTCCCCGCACAGGTTTGAATCCTGTCGACTGCGCAAACATTTTTTCTTTTTTTGTGAGCACGGACGCCGGCCGGACGGACGAATGGACAAGGCTAGACCCTAAGGAGCTTCACCCCTAAAAAGGCTTATATTCACAAAGAGGAGGTTAGAAAATTAATGGAAATGCCTAGAGCAGTGGTTCTCAAAGGGGGGTCCACGGACCCCAAAGGGTTCGCCAAGACATTCTAGCGGTCCGTGAACCCTGCCTTATCAGTCAAGCCCGCCGATAAAAGTTGTTTTTCAGATTGAGAAGAAACGTTCCAATTTTCAGGCGAGTTTTCTCATGCGTATGTCAATGAGAGAAGCCTACTTCACGCAAGCCCTTAATTATATGATTTATTAAATCATTATCATAATTAACCTATAACTTTTTCTTCCCCTCACCACAAGGGATGCCGCGAACTTTTTTCGAATCGAAGTTTCGATGATCGAATCAAGCGGTTCGAAGGGTTCGAAAGATTTCGATTTTTCGAATTGTCTATATCGTAAAATTCGACGGAGGTCGAATTTTCGAACTTGTTAAGCTAAGAAGTTCGACGCTTTTCGAACCGTCGAACTTATTACGCTAAAAAATTCGATCTTTTTCGAACTTTCGAACTAATTGCGCTGCAAGGTTCGATGCTTGTCGAACTTTCGAACTTGACTGACCAAAAAATTCGATGAATTTCGAACTTTCGAACTTATTTATCAAGAGAATTCGAAAAGTTTCGAACTTTCGGATTCTGAAAAGTCAGAAGTTCGACAAACTTCGAACTTTTATGGTAAAAGTTCGACGTTCGTCGAACTTCGAAAGACCGGCGGACGGTTTCATTTGATTTCAAGTAGTGGGGTACATTCGTAATTTTTTTTCTCGAACTTTTACACGCGGTGCTGCGTTCCTTACGAAAGACAATGTCGTTTATTTCAATGTTCTGGCATGCTTAGGTTTAAAGAAATAAATCCCCGAAGGGGCGAGGAAGGACGACGGGTTTTTGACGATTATCGTTTGTGCCAGATTTGAAGCACGCTGCAGCCATTTATGGTAGATATGTTATACTTTTTTTTAAGAATGATCTATGTATAGCCTAGGTAAGTGCCGTCTTAAGATGTGATTATTGTTATTCAACGCGAGTTTCGAAAAATGTCCAAACATGTATCTGCATGCAATTATAACCTAAACTTGATATTTATTTTCGTCTAAGTTGTTTGAGGTATCGCATTTAAATTAACACCACAGACAGTACATATCATTGCCATCTGCAGAATACGAAATAATATATTTATTGTTTTTTCACGTTAAGGAATAAATTAACTCATGGGAGAAGATTTCTAATAGTGTTCAAGTTCAGCACGTCATTAAAAAAAACTTTTTTTTTTTTTGCTTCACGTTCCTGGGACGTGTTTCTTTTAGCCTGTACACATTTTGGTAAAAGAAACTTGTTTCGAAGTTCTGAACCTCTGAATATGCAAGAATAGAACACTTCCGACGAATTCTTGACAGTTTTTTTTTTTTCTCCTGCTTTTTATTTCCGCATTTATTCTCTTTTTTTTTGTTACAATCGGCACAGGTGTTTAGGTCGAAAAGACAGCTTTGAACTTCCGAACCACTAAGCATGTGACGAGCAGTGCCTTCTGACAACGAGTTTCTAACAATGACCATCTACGCAACCTTTTATGCAGTGAAGAGCGACAGTAGCTATACATATGCATAAATAATTTCAGATTCAAATAAGCTCGACCACGCCCTCTTTCCCCGTATTGTTTTCTTTAACAGTTCGAAATACCTGCAAGGGAGAAAAGGAGGATGAAGCCCCCCCCCCCCCCCCCCCCCCCCGCTACCCTCTTTCCCCCCGTTTTTCCTCTTCCGACGCCACTTGTATGGTAGAACGCTCCTCGACCTCGAGTTGTGTCGGCTTTTGTGCTTTTTGCGAAGCGATTCCTCCGTCCCAGAAAATAAACCTCCAGGACAATTATAAACTTCACCGGATCGGATTGCTACCAGCGTGCAAGGGGTGGCGAGCTAGTTTGCCAGGTCGCTTCAAGGTTTTTCTGAGCCTCAACCTCCTGCTCGCCCCTGGCCGTTTCGAACGGATGAGTCTCGTAAAACAGTGTGTTCGTGCAATCACTACTGCGTGATGCAGGTTAAAGACCCCCGGGGCTGGCGGTCACAATTCTGCACTGCAAATATTCTAGCACGTCCGGGACACTCGTCGTCTCATTTAATTGCCTGACCAGCTTCGCAGAATCTAGATATCACACCCTAACTTTTCTAAACTTGATTTCGTGAAAACCAGTGAGTCGTGAAAACGTTATTTGAAACTGAAACTGTGGAAAAACTTGAAAATCGGACTTCGAACTTTGAAAACTTGGATTAGAAAGAAATTCAAAATCTTCAAAGTTTTTTTTTTTTTTTTTTTAATTTAGCGTTAAAAGAGAATCGAAACCTTCGAACTTTTCGAACTTTATGCAAAAAGAAATTCGAAATCTTCGAATTGTTCGAACTTCATGTCTATAAAAATTCGAAGCGTTCGAAGTTTTCAAATTTTTTAACAAAGAATTTCGAGATCTTCGAATTTATCGAACCTGAAGTAAAAAAATATTCGAAATATTCGATTTCGAAATTTCGGAAACCGTGAAAGCTTCGAAATTTTCGAATTCGAAACTCCGCTGTGGTCAAAAGTTGCGAATTTTTCTAAATCGAACCTCGGTCGGTACGAAAATATCGAACCTCAGTTCGCTTCGCAAATATCGAAACCTTTCGAAATCGAACCTAGGGTGGTTCGCGACATCCCTACTCACCACTAAAGGGGTCCTCCATCATATCTGCCGATCCACAAGGGGTCCGCGAAAAATCAATGGTTGAGAACCACTGGTCCAGAGAAGTGCGATATTGAGCGTGACCCGCATATGAAGTGTTTTTGTCGTGCGTTGACGTCAATGCAACGTCATTTCATATGCGCCTGTTTCTCGCCGGGCCAGAAAAAAGCGCACGCCTGGGGCCGACGTCGGAAGTAGGGGTCTGCTATCACCAATGAAAGCTGTGCAAGGTCATTACGACTGTGTCTGTTCGCAGTACATTATTGGGCATCATGGTGGAAAAGAGTGCGCTCAGTGTAGTATTCACTTTCTTTTCTTCTGTTTTGCCACACAGGACGCACCCAGGTTGGCCGATCTTGCATTTAAGCCTGCTTCAGCACAAGCATGCTTCTAAGCAGGAGCAACTTTTTTCTCCACTCCATAACAAAGGCTGCGGCAAGTTTTAGATCACTCTAAACTACCGAGGTAAAAGTGTGAATGAGCCAACGTTGAAACGAGCGTACGAGTCTGCAAGTGAACAACAGTGCACAACACATCACTAATGATGTAGCTGACTCAGCATGCAGTCGAAGGACATTTTTGTGCACTCCAGAAGTCCGGTAACTTTGCAAAAAATGAAAAAGCCTCGTGATTATGCTGACTAAGCTTAAACCACAACCATGCATGCACACTTTATCACTTTTATCTACTGTTTCTGCAACCAAGAAAAGAACAAACAAGCGCGTTGCGTGGCTAAACCACCAAGCCAGCGAGCAGCCAAGCAAAGCCAAGCATGGCAGCGGGCGTGTACATCATGGTACCATCCCTGCCGAAGTAACAGAAGTGATTGACAGCATGGCCACATGGCATGCAAGGCCAACATAGTGATGGAAGCGGCATTTGACCTTCTGTAGCAGGTCTTGTAGCAGGCAAAACATTGGTTTGAGTAGCACCCGATGCTTTTGGAGCAAGTGCCAACATGTATGTTAGCACGTTACCCTCCCCCCCCCCCCCATACTTGAAAATAAAATAATAACACTCATAAACACCCATCTTTGTTGATGACTGAAGGTTCATATTTTTATATCAATATACATATTACTTATTTCTTTTTGCAATAAGAATATGTACTTATTTTAAAGAGAAGGCTTAGGTATTAAAAAAAAAAGAAAAAGAAATCGTTGAAATATCTTTTTTTCATCCAAACAAAAAGAATTTCATGTGGATCAAGTGCGACACTTCAGTTCAGATGATGCCATCTACCCCCCTCCCTAACACTTTACTCCTGTAAAATAAAAAAAAAATAAAAAATACACGCATATTTTCTGAAACGTTGATTGATGCAAATACATTCACCTAGCTTATACCCACAAAAAGTGTATAAACTTACATATGTGCTTTGAAACCACCATCTCGCATTACTCTGCATCATAAGAGCGGCGTTGGAGCTAAACTGAGTCAGAGTTCAGTGTAGTGACTTGTCAATCAACTGATGGTTCACATCCCATTTATTAAAATGTAGAGCTAATATTTTTTTTGTTAACTGTTGGTTGACTTATATTACTTGTGAGCATAATTTTTGAGACCATAGAGATAACAGAAATGCTCTCGCACATCAGCCGCTGCTCCTAGCACGCTGATGCAAAGCAGTGAAGCTCGACCCGTGTGCTTTGGTGCAAAGCAGTGAAGCTTGACCCGAATGGCAGGGCGCAAGTTTTTCAGAAAAGTCTTCAAACACTCACGCATGCTACTGGCTTGATTTGACCAATCCGCATACTTCCAGAAAAAGCCAAGGGAAAGCATTTCCATTCTAGGTCATAATCGCGCTGCATGCTCCTTTACAAAGACCATCTTTTTATATTTTTTGCTTCGTTCAAGCTGATCTTGGTGCAAGTATGGTGCAATTTTTTGCAGAAATGGTATTTTGGCACGGCTTGCGAATATGGAGCAGTTTGATGCAGCACCTTCATCACTGCCAACAAAGCTGGCCTTGAAGGATTACCCAGCACTCGGAGATGTTTCATTCATCCAATATATTGATATCGACAAAGATGCCATGGTTCGTGGTCTGCTTTCGGACAGTGAAGTCATGGTTCGGCCTAGAATCCGCTCTGTTGCCAGCTGTGCCGAGTGCCGCTGATGCGAAGATTTTGTAGGGTGTCAGAGAGGACTTTCCACCAGCCTTATCAGTCTACTGTCTACTACTATTCATAAAAACAGTGAATATAAGAAAACACAGCTTACCTCGTCCTTCAACGCCAATGTCACCCCATTTACGTAACAGTTCTGGCCCACAAATATATCAGCCGCTTCCAAGCAACAGTCCTTCAAAACAGAGCAGTCGCCGACATGACACCGCCCCGGGCACCTCAACAATGTGTTCATAAGAGCACATTTTGATCTTTCTTCCATGCATCCCTATGAACGAGAATCAGGTATTGTAGTATGAACTATAATGTTTGCTCTGGAATCATAGATGCCTGTCCTGGATTCTCTAGAGAACAAAATTTAAATCTATATCCAGCTATAAAAATTTAGACATATACAATGTGGGTCAAACAAATAAATTTTCAGAATAAATTTCACAATAACTCATTGTAGGAAGAGGCCCAACTTAAGAATAAATATATAATTTGAAGGTTTGAAAGACGCTTAAATAAATTTGCCACACTCCATTGGAATGCAGTTTCAGCTCCAAATCTAAGACTTGTTCCTCTGACAAACTGGTAGTGAATGAAAATACCATAAAAAAAAAGAAAAAAAAAAAAAAGATGTGTCAACATTTTTAGGTCATGTGTCCCTGCCAAACTTGTTATTGCGGCAAGGGGCAAAGAAGCAAAGATGATTGTACTTCCCGTCAGCAATGTTCACTTATGTCCCACCATAGCTAACTAGCCGCCTTTACGCCGAGGCCATCATTGATCCCAACACTACTATTACTAAGAGTGGGGTTATCCTAGAGTTCAAGAAAAAATGGCAAATCAAGCCAAAAATAGGGGTGGGTTATCTTTAGGGGGTGGGGCATCTCTGAGGATCTTACAGTAGGTGCAAGCTGCTAATTGAATTGTTGGTTTTCAACAAGAATTACTTTCCATTCATCATAGAAATGGGCATGTTTTACAGTAACAGCATTTGATAGTGATGGCTTAAAGGCATGCCAAATTTTTAGTTTTCAACAAGATTGCACATACAGTAAAACCTCATTATAACAAAATGGGATATAACAAACTAATGGATATAACAAAGCAATCATAATTCCCCTTGCTTACTAATAGTGGGAAGAAATGGACATTGGCTATAACAAACTAATGGTTATAACAAAATAATTACGACCGCCCCTTCAACTTTGTTATAACGAGGTTTTACTGTAATAATAAGCTCCCAAAACTATCACTCTGCTTGTCGGGTGGCCCAGGCTTTCTCAGACAATTAAAAGTAAAAGCTACTCCTACTACAGGGGAATACTCAGACCCTTCACTGGGCCTGCATAGGCAACCTGCAATGCAGTTTGGCGCTACACGTAGCGCCATCTAGCGGCTGCAAAATAAAGAAACTGGGTAGGCCAGGACTACGCGGGCCGCGGGGGCTGCGGGTGGGCGCATCCAGAAACCACGAGTGAATGTTGCATTTCGGATCGGCGTGAGTTTTTTTGGATCCGTTTTTCGTAAAAGTCCCAACTTCACGTCTCTATAACCTCACCGGGTTCCTGTGACATCTCGCCTACTCCTAGAGTTCCCCTAAAAAATAAACACTGCTACTGCTGCATGAAAGACGGCCACAGTCGCGAAGGTGACTCAAGGATCAAACTTCACCGCTTCCTCAGCTTCCCTTCGAGATCTTGGGAAGCGACACGGCGACAGAAGTGGATTACTGCAGTGCGACGCAACAAGTAAGTGAATTTTACAGAAACTGTTGGGAGGGAAGTGAACGAAAACATATGTGCAGGCTTGGAAAGTGGTCGGACGAACTCATTTTGCAGACTACTCGGCAAAATAACATATTTATACAAGTTGTATTACGAGTCGCTTTGACAGCCACATTAGGGAAATAGGATAGGAACAATCGGGGCGATTGTTGCTTCGCTGTGGTGTCGAGAATCGGGCGATCAGGTCTTCAAGCGAAAGGCCCGTCGGCCCATTCCGGCACTCCCAATGCCGTTCGGCACGCGTGGTCGCAACCAAAACCTTCCAAACCTGCGAGTTTTCAAATAGTGGATTTTCGTAGCACAAAGTTTTGTTTCTTTCAGCAACCAAATTTAATGCTGAGTCTGGTAACAAATGTGACGGATTGCAGAAAGCAGGATGCTAAAGTTTTTCTTTAGAAAAATCTCATGCGAAGCGTAAATATCCTTCTTACGTGTACACTTTGTTGGCTGTCGCCATTTTACACCAGGCTTTGCAATGTGCGTACGGTTCTGTAGCATGCAGAGTTTGGTTCTAATTACCCAAATTTTATTCTAGTGTGTGTGGGCGTCGGGAGGTGAGGACGGACGAGCGAGGCGCGAGCAGGGGCCAGCCGGCGAGGAAAGAGGAAGAGCGTGCTGCGCGAGGCTGGGGCCGGGCAGGAACGATAGAGCCGTTCTGGCTGGTCTGGCCCATGGCGATTCCCGGGAGCATTCCACCAGCGAAGTTCAGATCAGGACCGGCGGAAGAGGCGAACCCTGACCATACTGGCCAAGTCCATGACGATCCTGCAGTGGTTCCGCAGCGAGACTCTGGCAGTGATAGCCCAGAACAGCTAGCCTACGCAGCACTGGCGTGGGAAGGGCGATCCGCAGGCCTGGACACGGGCTCCGATTGTGAGTTCTGAACGACGGGCGACAACTAGGGTCGGCAAGTCCGGAGTGCCGGCTCTCGAAGACGGGCAACCGGGATGTACAATAAACCCATTCGCTGCCTTCTTGTTGTATTGTGTCACTTCCTGGGAAACGAGGGAAGCACAGACCGATCGGGCGCCGGGTGGCCACAAGTAGTGAAGACAACTCAAACTGGTGTCCAAATGACGACTCTAGAATATTCTCTCAGCACTTGGACCTAGCAAGGCTCCCGATTAAAAAACTGCATAAAAGAACCAGGGACGCAGGTACACACGGGGACTGCTGAAATCGGGGTCGCTGCCGCTCGCAACGGCCCGACGGGAAAACTGGCCGCCCCATTAACAGAGACGCCTCCGCTTGTGGCGCTGAATGCAGTGCTCTCGTGGCGCCACCTGGCCATTGCCGGCTGCCTATAGCAAACTATCCATGTAACTAAACTTGCCTCCAATGCAGAATGAAGAAAAGGGTTCACTTCGGATGTTCCAAGAAAGCGCTTGGAATGTTCCTCTGCGGTAGTATCATTTGAAAGATACTGATAAGTGCCACCTTCCAATACATCTGCAAGAAATGCGACACAGAACAAAGCTCAGAAATCGCAAGAGCATGCCAATGCACAAATGCATGAAAAGTTATTTCTGCTTATACATTTGCAAATCTCAAAAACAATCTTCAGAGGTGTGATGATAGCTCACATAAAATATGATTCCCCAAGATACATGACTGCAGGCATTTCCTAGGTGCCTGCAGTTAGGAGATTTATTAATGTGGAAGAATCTCTCACGATAACCATACTTCAGTTGAGACAAATCTTGCATAAGGCAGTCAAGATACAATCCCCACATCTTGAGTGCCCAAGATCAAGGAGTGGGCAATCTCGGAGCATACCTTCACAAATAAGAGCCCATGTGGACACACTGCTTCAGTAGAATTTTGAAACACTAGCCCTAGGAAAACCGGGAAAGATGTGTTTCTCACAAGGCTTCAAAGTGTGCCATGAGAGTTCTTCCCAGATGAGACTCCTGGCCCTCTGGGCAGCTTCTTTCCTAGCGAGACAGAACTTGTGGTCGTACCATCGCCCACATGAACCGTTCTCAAAGGACTCTCGAGACACCCCTGTGGTCATTGCAACCAACAGGTCGAAAAAGAGAGACATCTGGTGGAAGAGACAGAAATGAATTCCCATTTAGTATTTGAAAATTCAAAATTTGCACTGGCATCTTCAGTCACATTTTTATCATGCATTAGACACTGAAATGCAAATGGGTTCACATATTTACGACTAAAAAACAAGTGAGAATTTCTTTTGCGGGGCTTTGCTAGATTGAGTGGTTGAGACAATGATGATGAGGCACGAGCAGCAACGCACTCCGTCTACTGCAACATGAAACACTGAATGTGCTACAGGTGTTGAATGTAAGAATGCAGCTGACTTTTTAATGAAGTGATCTTCCAACACAAACCTGCATTGGTTCAGCCCCACTGTCTACGCCCATGTATGTGCAACTGTCCAAGGGCGACTTTGCCTGCAAGGCGAGAAGGCTTTCTGCCACTTCAGCACTGAGGAACACAATGCCAGACACCTGCAATATACACATTAGCAAGAATGACTAACAAATCCATATAATTCTCTAAAATAATTATATTATTAAAAAAAAAAGCTGGATTGGGTGCTGTTTATTATAGCCTTTTGTCTTCTTAATTGCGTTACCACACTCCAATTGGGTAGGATTCAGCATACACTGCATATATTATTAAAAAAAAAAAAAACAACCCTGCGGGAAATGCGGTGAACCTTTTTTCCACCTGTTATCTATCAAAAAATGCCATTGTGGGCATCTGCGAGTAAGGGTCGCCTGACGCCGCCAATGACATCACTTTTGCTAGGTTTCAATTTTCCTCCCTTCCTCTCCTGCGGTTGGCAGGCAGCAACAGCAATGGAAAAATCTTAATTTTCAAATGTCTCTTATTTTACACACATTATTTTTAAGGTGCCTACATCCAAACTCAGTTTTTGTAATTTGAAAACTACTTCAGCTTTTCTTTAATGTGCACTGTAAAATACTACTCCCCCAAGCAATCAGCACTGAGAACAATATACTATAGAAACACTCTACCATGATTGATACTCTACAGTGCTCCATACCATTGGCCTTAGTTAAGGGGCTGCCAATTAAAATTTTTGAAACCTACAACCTATCTGTTATCAGCACCAAAATTTCCACCCCATCTAGTATCAAGTGTAGCTTCCTTAGGCATACATTCTTGTAAAATGCAGTGAATGGTAGCAAACATTAAACGCTTTGATAGTGCACGAAATTCATTTAAAAAACTCTCCGAAGAGACTTGCAACTGCTTATGCGTAGGAATGCAAAAGCATTCTACAAGCAGCGCGCAACGTCTTCCTTTCACAACAAAATGTTCAGTTGGGCTAGTTGCTTTATGACTGAATAGAAGCATCGAAGGACAGGGACAAACTGGAGGAGGTATTGACAACACGGAGTAAATTCGCACACGGCGCTCCGGCAGCGACATCATGCGCTCCCCCACTGCGCAGGCGTGGTGAACCTTGCCGGCTTACGTGACAAAGCATCTGTGTTGCTGTGCTTTTCTTTGTGTTTTACTGCCGACGCGTGTCCGCTTTGACCTCGAGCTCCCCCGCCGGCTACCGTGACGAAGTGTGGCTGTTCTATTCTTTGTGTTTTATTTCTAAAGCGCACTCAATGATGTAGTTTTATGACCATCTTTCGGGGACAACGCTGATGGCTTTTCGCGTAATGGGACAAGTAAGGCTTTCGCCTTAATAAATTAATCAAACAGGTCTCTTTGCTTCATCAACTGTAAGTAAGCATAAAAACAGGGCTGTGTTTCTGCAGTGCATCACTGCAGACTATGTCAAACTGGAATAGCACTGCTCATCTTCTATGAAAACAGCACCTTCATAAAAGGCAATGCTTTCATGAAGCACCGTTGCTCTCACATCGGCTTCATGAGGGCTCATTCGACTACGACTTCCTTCCCTATCCTTAGTCAAACGTTGCTTTCTCTCTCCTCCAGCATCTCTTTGACACGTCAAACACAGTCATAATTCAGCATGTAGCGCCTTCTGTTCAGCTATTCAGTCCACTCTGTCCTCTTGCAAGGCATTGTGAAGACTGTGGCACATCCAGTGGGCACCTCATTCCGCAACCCACGCAATAAGAGGAGAACAGCATGTGTACCTCACTCTAATGAGCATGTGCATGCATTTCGACGTGCTGACTAAACCTTTTGAGGTGGGGGGACCACACTGAAAGTGGTACAGATGTTGAACCTAAGAATAAAGCTCGCATTTTATCAAAGTGACCTCCCAACATAAACCTGCATTGGTTCAGCCCTACTTTCTACACTCATCATCCATAATATAGTAGAACATTGTTGATGCATTCTCGTTTATGTGTTTTCCTGCGTGTTACACTCACAAACACGGGTCCTGTTGAACTCCCATGGAGATATTCACATCAATTTACTGTTTGTTGCACTTGCCTTTCTAGCTACAACGTCCAAAATGTTGTTTGGCACGGCCAGCGCTAGGAGTTGGGCTGGCCAACCATGGCTGTCCTATTCCTCTTTTTCTACTCTCCCTCTTTTTCAGCTCTTCGCCTCTCTGTGCCACGCTTCCCGCCCCTGGGCGTGTATTACCTTCATCTAAGCTTGGAAAAGATTCAGGCTTTTGCAATAGCTCCCTGATCTTTCATCTTGTCCACCAGCACATGCACATGCTTCTGCTGTGTTCGTGGCTTGGGCTTCTCCTACCCCTGGTTTCGAGTAAACCTCGTAATTGTGCACCGCACGAAAGCCGAGCTTCACAGCTCTGCATTCGCATGCTAGGAGCAGCGGCGGATGCGGAGAGTTTTGGGTTAGCTCGACGGGCAGAAAAATTTTGCACACTCTTAAAAGTCAATATTCTTTGGTTCATTTACATTTGAATATAGTAGTTCTCCACAACCTTGAAAGTCCATCAGAAATAAATTGTTGATCGAGTGTCGCTCCCTGTCTCATCTATAGGTCTCAAAAAACGTTACTGGTTGCTAAGTTTGCCCAATCTCATACTTGTTTTAACATGGTTCTACTGCATCATAAATGTTAAATGATGCACCGAACAAGTCAAGCTAAATTAAAAAAAAAAGAAGAAAAAAAGCCTTACAACAGGGACTGTGCCATCAGGTCTTGTGTAATTGTGCAGTGCTTCCAAGGTTCCACAATACAAAATGCTGGATACATTTCCCTGAAAGCAACCAAAAGAATTATAACAGTAATACCACATACCAGTCACCAAGGCTCAGATATGACCAATTTGCAAATTTTCCTATCACAATCTAATGTAAAATAAATGCTTCAAAAACATTGTGTGCAGAATGGAGAGTATTACAATGCACCAGGGATTCATGTTTTCCGAATAAATTTTTGGTGAGGTCTGGAGAGCATTTTTGGAGCTCATTTTTGTATTCCAAATTTGGCAAGAAATTTAATAGCACTCTCTCAAGGTGAAAGTATTACGGTGGCTCAAGAATTCCCCTACTTAGATTGGATTCTGGCGTGACAGAGAATGGAGCAACATTGACCTGTCGTCCCAAAAAGTAGATGACAAGTTGTCCTTCGTTGATCGTCCAAGGTTCGAAAGGAGATAAGGATGATCTTGCTTTAGGGCCGCTGACCTGGTACTCTAACAAGTGTAATATGAAGTGTTGGTTTTTCTTCAATGCTATGTTAAATATCAGTTTTTCAGAAGTCCAAATTGATAAACATATTACCAGTAAGTATTTATCAGATTTCGTTAATTTTGTCCCAAAACACAAAACCCTAGTTATAGGACATGAGCAGGCTCACAAAACAACGAGACATAATTCACACAATGCATACTCACATCAGTATTAATAACAAAAATGCAAGGGAGTTTCTCAACCACCAAAGAGAAAAAATCAGGATTAGTGTACAGTTCCTCACATCTTTCTCATGTACTGTCACTTTCCTTAAAAGTTCCTCTCTTTGAGTTCTTTGTAGAAAAACTCATCCTCCATTTTTTTTTTTTTTTCAATTATGCAATGATTAAGAGAAAAGCTATATGCCTCAAGATCTGAAAACAACGAAAAGCCGATAGCAGTTACAACATGAAAATTATGAGCTATCGGTCGGTCGTGAGTGCAGTTCATGCTGTGGGCACTTTATTTTTTTTATCCTATTAGCAAATGGAGTTTTTAGTAATAGAAATTGTTTCTACATGTGCTATCATGCAGAACAAGCACCTCTTGAGGTATTGCACAGACACAAAAAGTTTTCACTCTGCTCCAAGCTAAAGCATAGTTTTGCTATTCACCACTGTACACATTCTGGTACAGACTCGTGGCATATGGTAATCCAGGCCTAAACTTCTTGACCCACCTCTTTTTCTGTTTTAATATGCTGTTCCAGCTTCTCTAAGTCACCACATACATTGTTGCTAACCCATTAAAACACAACACATGCTTACAAAAAAACTGAAATGAAAAAAATTTTTAGAGGGATTATTTAAAACAAAATTTCTACCCCCCCAAAAATTTGTTTAGCAATATTTATGTTGTTAGACACAATTCAAGTGGTGGTAGCCTGCCCAAACCCCGCCCAGGAACATAGCTAAAAACATTCCATTTCTCGGCTCTCATTGGTTGGAGAGACAGACGATTGGCATGCGGATTATCTGTTGAAGAACTGTTTCACCAGGCCATAATAGTATCTTTATCGACAATATTTTTATGTTTGAGAAACAAATAATCTACACAGTAATTTTTATTCTCAAAAATATCCCGAGATTGCCTTTCCGCTTTGGTTTGAAACGTGACAAACATGGCTACTGCCATTTGCGGAGTGCTCAAAGAGCGTAGTTCGTTGAGATCGTTTATTTTGAGGAGTGCGAGTCGTTCTGCATTCACCGAGATGTTTAGAGGAAGATCTCCTCAACCAACCTAGCTTGCAGCAAACTGTCACAAGTACACGCCTTTGGAAGTGCTGTGCGGGGTGCTTGTTTTCGAAGCGGGACAGGCATAAGCCTAGTGTGCCACATTAATTAGTGATATTTCGAGAAATAGCTCACCTAAAATCAAAAGCAAATCTGGTGGAAAATAAGGAGTGGGCTAACTTTCGGTAAGCGACAAAAAAAAAAAGTTGAAAAAAATACTAGCTTTAGATTTTGTGTCCTGCTAAAACTTGTGATCGCAGGGAGGGGTGATGAACCAAAGACTGTCCTTTTCAGTCAGGAACGTTCGCTTATCCCCTGCCATGGCTAAGTAACACCATTTCTGCTGAAGTCACCATCGGCCAGTGCCCTGCAATTACAGTCAAATCTCGTTAATTCATACTCGAGGGGGATTGAAAATTTGTTTGCATGAAGCAAAGTTTGAATTACAGGGAGTTTCCTCCCATAGAGACATATAGGATGGGACCTGCATGTTAGTTTCAATTACCATATTTACTCGCATAATAGCCGCACTATTTATGAACAAGGCCCTTGCATCTACTTTCCCGCAGAACACTCATATACAGCCATTCGTCGCGTTGCGCATAAATAACATAGCGAATAACTAGATCGAGAACACGATTCGCCATACAAATGCAATCTTCACAAATGATATCTTCGCATGAAGACGTTATCTCTGTCCTGTAAACTGCTGGAATCATGCTGTCGGTCGCGGTGATTGGCAATCCGCGTTCTCCGCGAAAAAGAGAAACCTCAGGTTTTCTTCATAAACAGTGCGGCTATTACTCGAGTAAATACGTACGGTATCCGCAAGCTTGAATTAAGAGAGTTTGAATTAACGAGATTCGACTGTACAAGAAGTGGGCTATCTTTCTGTGTTTTTTGCAAAAATACCAAATCATGCCAAACATAAGGGTGGGTTATCTTTCGGGGGTGGTATCTCTCTGGATATTACGGTATGTTGCTTGATCTGGCTTGATTTGTTCCTTTGCGCGTATTGATGCTGAAGATGTTGGTTCCCGTAAAAGCAGCCCCGCTGCTCTGTGAACTGTGCAACCGACATGATTGCAACCATGGCTTCAATACCAAGAAGATACCTACAAAAGTAAAAATTTGTGAGCCATTTAGCTGGAGGCAATCGGGTGTTCGGCTCGCTTCAAGTTTGTCGAGCATGTTCCTGTCATTTCGCTTCGAAAGGCAAGTAGCTCTCAAGTTTTGCAGTGCACCTGGCCTGCCAAAGCGAATATTTTTAAGGCCCTGTCACACTGAGGCAAGAGTTGGACAACTCTATCCGGCAATAAGAGGAAATTGTGTTACTGGAGGCCCAGTCACATCGCGGCAACAACAGCAGTCGGGCAACATGTTGCTGTCGCCCGGCAACCATGTTTGCCAACATTCTGGTCCGACCACCCTGTCACACCGTGCAGACGGCGGGTCCAACACGGGGAGCACTACGCCATCTTGATTGTTTATCTCCCTTCGTGTGTGGCGCGGCGTCGACGGAAATGGGTCTCTACGAAGTGCTAGTGCGTTTGAAGGGCCGGAAATTACCACGGGACGACATCAACCAGTGACTGTGATTAGAAAGCTTGGCACGGGGAGTATTTTCCACCCTTTAGTTTATCAAAATGTTCTTCATCCGCTGACAAAGCAGATAGCCCTAACCGAGGAAGGCGAGACCGCTGACATATGTTTGCCATTTACGCCACCTTATGAAGTGTTCCTGTCCGGTTCTTTTTTTCATGCAATTCCAATTTCTCCTGTAAAATTGATTTAGCACCGGCAGTACCCCCAAACCGTCTTTTGTAGTAAGGTGTTGAGCTAAATTGAGTGCTTAAAAACCGCGACACCTACACGATTGGTCTTCATAACAATCGGTGGAATATTTTTCAACACTGTTTATTTGCCTACCACCTTCTATGTGATTGCTTCCTTCCCCAAAACGTCCTCGGGATTTTTGAATCAATTCAGGAGTCTGGTAGCGGCTGTTTCCACGTTCCAAGCATCAACAATCATAAGAGCGGTTGTTTAAATGCTTCAATTTTTTAATATTTGCTTTCCTGGATTGTTTTTATTATACTTTAGCAGCGGGTGAGTAGGCATGCCATTTTATTTCCCTAGCAGTAATGTGAACTGGTCTCTCAGCAGTTCTAATTTAAACACCTGTCTGAATGTTCACAACCGTAGCTTTGACCATTTCGACAATCACTTTCCGTAATTATGCAGTAAAAACATTCATCGAATTATTTTAGCTGCTAGCCAGTCTAAATTATTGTCAAACAACGTTTTCCAAGCCCTTATTTGAGTAAGCTCGTAAAAAAAGACGCTGATAGGGAACTAGCTCTACCATTGAAGCTGTCTGTGTTGTCGTGATGCCGCCCCGAAATTCACTCAGCCACCGATTAGGGCAACACACATTGTCCAATGCAAGGTGTTGCTGTTTTTGCTGCCGAAAGCTGTCATACCGAGGCAACATTTCCATTGTCGTCCATGTTGTGCTGCTGTTGCTGCAAAGTGACAGATTTGACGGAAAACACGGGGAGCGAGCAACAAGTTACCTGACTGTCGGACGTGTTATGTTGCTGTTGCCGTCGTGTTGCCTCAGTGTGACAGGGCTTTTGGGTTGTGTTTTAATTATGCGTCAAGATACTTGCCTGCCTGCCATGCAAAAAAAAAATAATAACAAGAACAGAAAAGCTGCAAGGACTGCATATTTATCTTGTTGACTTTTTTTAGTCCTCTCGGTCGCTTTTTATTACACATTGACCGACGCTGAGAAACGCTTGTGTTGGACTGTGGCTCGTACATGATGGAGCACTAGAACGCCACTTTCATGGTCGCGTCTTGTGAGCGTTGCAGAAGTTTTTAGATGGGGGCAGAATAGCAGACGGACAAAGGAGAAAACGGAGACCAAATCGCAGCTTTCATGTCCGCGTCCTACGGGCATTGTAGACGACGATAGACGGTGGTGGAATAGCAGACGATACCAAAGGCTGCCGCGTGTCAGCTCGCACGACTAGCAGGCGGTGTCAAAAGCCAGACTAGACGCACCGAATGTCGTGAAAGAGAGACACTAGGCTTGTTAGCATGTTTGGCCGAGCAGCCAAGCCAATCCATTAGCAATGGGCAGGGTCAGTGATTTGTGGGCGGGGCTTAGAGCGGGCCGTGACCTCTACCTAGATTGCGTCTAACAACGTAAATAATGCAAAAAAAAAAAAAAAGCTTTCTTTGTGGAAAAATTACAAAAACGGATACTAGGTGTCCCATATATGCCCTTTAAAAATTTTTTTTTTATTTCAGTGTTTTTTTAAGCTATTATGCTACTTGTTCATAACCAGCACTAGCCAATCTGTAAAAACTTACATCAGGGTCAGTCATGACAGCACCATGACCAGTAGCATATTGTGGATCACTTGCACAACAGACAAGCAAGCCACCTTTTACAGTTTCCCAGTTGATGGCTGGAAGTAAAATTAATTAGGTTGATTAATGAACCAAAGCCTCCTACCATAGCCAAAGAATTATGCAGGGTTCTGATAAAACACAAAGATGCACATGAATGATGAAACACTACCTAATTTTGCACATGCAGTCATCATTTCACTTAACTTCATACCAGCCACTGCAACCAAAGTTTTATTAACTTTGTCTAAGAGAAGATATAGAAAACAATGATTTTTTTTGAGTGCACCAATGGGTCAAATGCCTCGCCGTCTCCACAATAACATGTCTAAAAACATTAAAGGCTATGCTGGATCCCATTTTTCATAGATCCCATTTGGGATGCCACTGTCTAAGCATTATCACAGATTTTAGATTTTTTTTCTCTTCATGTAAATTAGTATATCTCTTCACACAGCTGCAACATCGCTATTGAAACCTAATTTTTTCTAGTCTATGTTTCTCTCACACACAAACCAGAATTCAGGCATCTCGTTTATGCTGAGGATGTCATGTAGTACTGAAAAGCATACAGCATACAGACCTAGAAAACTATTTATGGTTAGTTTATGGGACAAAGGCCTAATATTAAAGTTGCTTACAGAAATGCAATAGATCCAAGTCGTTTCATAGCACCTTTTGGAGCAGCTAAAAGTATTCTTGGAGCACATGCACACACTGCATTTTAATCCATTCTACCACAAACACTATGTTAAGCCTCTCCAACAAAATAGCAATGGCTTCTTTGACTTCTCACTTCTGTGCAACCCCTTGTTGGTATCCACTGCAGAGCAAGTTTGATTCCCTTCAACACTCAACTTGCTGCTTCGTTATGCTCAAAAGTGCCAGACATGGCAACGAAAATGCTGTTTCAGGATCTACTATTTTTGTTAAAAAAGGTTCCTTTGTAGCAGCACTTCTGAAGCACGACTGATGAACAATACAACATGAATGATAAACATATGTGAAGGGTTATACTCTAGGTGTAGAACTAAAGGCAAACCAAATAGCACTCAGCTAAGGTAATGTTTGAATAGAATAATATACTAAGTAACAAATTGGACTAGATAACAGAAAGTATAAAACAGAGAGAGGACGAAACACAGACGAGTACATACTTTCTATTATCTAGTACATCTTACCAACACGCTCGTTAGGAATATAACAAATTGGAGTTGCAATAAAACTGGGCAATTCTTGACTCGCTTATTAAAAAAAAACAAAAAAAGAAGCTTTTATTTAATTATTCACATCATTGGCATCTTACATGTAGACTGTTAATGGTGAAAGCCGATGGACAATAAATATACTATCTTAAAATGCCCAGCTAAACTCATTCAGGTTCCATTCCACTGCTATAGTTAATTTAGTTTTTAAACTTGATTGACTGCACCCTCAAACACGGCTGAATAAAAATCAAACCTGCAGTAGAACACACTGAAGCGGGCAACTCGTCTGGATATAGCAGTTTATCATCTACACTAGCCATGGTTGATTTTGTGAATTTTACCACAAGGAAGCGTTGTCACGTCATCATTCACTAAGTTTAATTTTTTTTTTCCGACACCTGACACATGCACACATTTTACTTTGGAAGAGTGCTTTTGCTCCTTTGTACATGGCAGTGATGGAAGCAGCATTTGACCCTTTGTGGCAGGTTCTGTAGCAAGCAAAATAGTGGTTTGGAGCAGCCACTGATGCTTTTGGAGCAGATGCCAATATCTGTTAGCACAACACTTGGAAATGAAAAGGCGATTACATCACTAAATGAGCTCATCTTTGACAATGATTGAGGGTTCTTCATTGATACTGGAGCATGTTACTTATTACCTTTTGTAATAAAAATAGGTAAGGCACAAAAGGAACACAGCCTTCTTTTTAGAAGGCTCTGGTCAGCGTGGCTTCCATTTACAAAGGGTACTAAAAAATGCTTGAAAAAGGAATCGTAGCACAACACTTCAGTTGGGATAAAGCTTCTCTCCCCTCCCATTTTTTCACCCTGTAGTTTATTTAGCCTGCAAATATAAGGCAGAGACTATTTCGACGTTCACTTTCAAAATAATTTTGAATATTATTTTGACTTCCTTGATGCCACTTCCTGAAACGTGAAATTATTTTCAAAAACATTTTGACGTCCCCCGTCAAAATATTTTTGTAATTATTTTTATGTCTCCAACTTAGAAGTTTAGAGCTTCAGAGTCCGGACTGGGGAGCGATCGAAGGTGGCAGTAAAAAAAAAGTATCATCTTGCTTGCAGGCAGCGTCGTGGTTCGACACACATTTTCCGAAAGCAAATGTTATGCAGTCGACTGCTGTTTTTATGACCTTTTAGGTGATGTGGAATGGAAAAAGACCTTCTCAAAGTACATCATGATCATCTATCAAGCCGAAAGTATACATTCTTGATTGTGCCAAACATTACAGAACGCGGCACCGCTGCTTTTCATGATTTTTATGGACAAAGGAGCTGAATGCCGTGTCATAAAATTTGCAGTTGATTGGAAAATGTGTTCATCTCGTACAACCATGCTAGAACCTTTGTTAGCTTGCACCGGTCAAGAAACATCAAGGAGGAAATGTTTGCATTCACATCCTTTTACTTATCGTACCATAGTTATAACTCGCTCGTTATACATGAACCAAGCAGAAAATCTAAACTAAACAACAAACTCATGAAACCTGGTTAAAAACCGGGCGGGAGCCAGATGCAATGGAAGACTGCAACCATAGGAAGACATGCTCGCACAATATAAAGGAACAAAAAGCGCGCCAAATTTCTGTGTTACGTAGTGTACACACTTACATTTGTTACGTGCAGGGAGACGGGGGATATCGAGCTCGCCTTTGTTGTAAATTCAAAATTTTAAGTGAGACACGTGCCGAGATGTAAGCTCAGAATGCTCAGAACATTGCCACTGGGTGTGTCACGTCCGAATAGATAAACTGTCGAGCCAGTCTCACACACACGTTGAATAAGACATTTCCACTGCCAACTAGAACCAAAACTATCTGTAACAACGGCAACACAACACCGACGACACCACCAAAAACTAAAACAGAATGAAACCACAAAACGGCTACCACTGCTACGGCTGCTGTATTGAAGGACGACGTCGAAATAAGAAAGCCACTATTTTGACAATGTTTTATAGAAGTGACATCGCAGACGTCGAAATAATTGTTGAGATACTTTGACGGTGGACGTCGAAATAGTCACTGGCTAAATATAATTTCTGTACAATGCCAGCAGAAAACAGCCATATCTGCCAACACGCCAACCTATAAAAAAGCGACCCCCAAACTTTACTTTATGAACCTACCAAACTCAAGACTCCAATATTATAAACTGCAAAAACAGCCACCCACAAATATTATGAAAATCTATATGTGCGCTTTAAAAGTGACGCTGCTCTTCAGTGGCATTGGAATGAGAATGAAGTCAATGTTCGCTGCTTTTTCGATCGACAGCTGCACGGGAACAATCTTGACTGCCGTATTTATTCAAATGAACACATTTGCAAGTCCGGCTTCAGAGCGCTGCAATCTTGCTCGGTTGGGGTGCTTGGGCGCAGTCATAATTTAACTAAGACGCCTTAGAAAGGCTTCGTAATCGGATTATGACGCGTCCAAGTGCACCCCAGCCGAGCAAGATGGCGGTGCCCTGAAGCCGGACTTGCAAACGTGTACAGACATGTGGTTGTTGTTGTTTTTTTTCGGCGCAGTTTTATTCAATTAGATATCAACCTGCAATCATGACCGAAGAAGGTAGACCTATAATAGTAGTGAGCATAATTTCCGAGCCTATCTCGCTAGCCCAGGTGCTCACCCATGTCAGCCGCTGCCCCTAGCACTCCGGTGCAAAGCGGTGAGGCTAGACGCAGCACGGAGGCATGTGGCAGACAGGATAATCAAGTGATCGCACAGGAGTGGAAGACCTTGATTCTGTCTTATCACAATAGTTGCCATCATACTATTTTGCAACGTTTTCTCACAACTTTTAGCTCCTGACATCGCCAACATCTTCTGGAAATTTAGACAATGTCGGCGATTAATTGGTTAGCGCATCAACTGACCAGCGCGGTTGACGAGCAACCTCTTTACTTCGTTCCACCTTAATTTAAAGTGCAGCCGACGCTACGAGCCAGTGGGACCTACCAAACAGCGTCAAAGCATGACATCATGGCATGACATCATGGCATTTGTCCATCTTCCTGTACGTGTTCTTTCGTCAGCTAGACCAATGGTTCTGGAATGGAGGTCTGCAGACCCTTTGGAGTCTCTGAAGGCCTTCTTCACAAAGCCTTAAATTGCCAATCAAATGGAAAAATATTATTTTTTTTCCTTTTTAAAATTTATGCTGGTTGTTTTACTTGCGTGCTGAGTGAGTAGGGTTGATTATTCTATGCTTCAGAGCTTCAAAGTTGGTTTGCATGCATTTATATTTGTTTATTTACCCTTGTTATCGTAATCAAAAAATGATTCCCCTTTCCCCCAGTGGAAGGGGTCCCCCGTCACTTTTTCTGATCCAGAAGGGGTCCCTAAAACATCAGTGGTTGAGAACCACTGGGCTAGACCAATCAGGTGCAGTGAATATCCTGTGACGTTCGCTTTTTGTACGTGTGTTTGTGGTTGTATGTGTTTGAGCCTCCAACTGTGCTCTGACCCAAGATGAAACAAACTACATGGTAAGTAGAGATGCTGTGAAATAAATATTTCTACCGTTTTCCTTTCCTCTTACTTCTCTATATATTAGAATCAGCCAATAATAAAATATATTTTAAAATATTTTGTTTTGCTTAAGCACATCTCGGTGCAGGTGTGGCGCTATTCATAGATGTAGCAAGCTTTCGTTCATGGTGCAATTTGACGCAAAGGGCACAGCACTTCCATCACTGACATGACTGGGCTAGGATAAAGTATGATGCAGAAAATCACAATTTCCACTCTGCAGGCTCCGCAGTGCACCAGCGCTCGCTAAAAAGTGCACTCAGAAGAGCTAACTAACCAGCCCGAACAGATTATGAGAAATAAAAAATACTGAGGAACGTCCGAGTAGTGCCAGGGTTTGATACGAAGATCAAACCGAATATTGAGTTATTCTAAACAATAATTGAAAGTTTTGAACACTCACAGAAGCGAATTGCAATAATCTGGCAGCGTAGCAGCATCTAAGCTCCGTATTGGTAAAGTGAAATGAACGTTTGGCGCAATGTTGGCACAAATTCCTCACATTCAGTTGATACAGGGTAAGTTTGTTGGCCCACATCACTGTACTTAACTAGAGCAAGGCTTTTACACAGCATTGCCTATTACGTGAAGTAAGTAGTGCAACAGTAATGGAGATTCATTCCTGACGAGTCAGTGGCTACATTAGTTTCCAGCCAGCTTCCCACCATGGAAGGTCATTACTGAGATTATTCCAGACAGACCAGGACTCCTACCAGTCTCAGAACAGCTTAGGACCATGTCTGTGCTGCAAATCCACACACCTGGCGGTCCACTCTCTTGCATCTAGTAGAAAAAAGAAAGATCTTGGAATCAAATTTTTTGTTAGACAGGAACAGTCAATAGTCTGTGACAGGTCAAGAACGAAGTGGAAGCTACTCCCATCCCTTTCCACTTTAGCAGAGCGATCGCCGATGAGGAGGCAACCTCCTCTCCACCGTTTGCTCTGCTAGTACAGAAAGAGGTGGGAGGAGCTTCCACTTCATTCTTGACCTGTCACCGACTATAGCATGAAGCCATAATGGAGCTCTAAGAGACTGTAGACACAATCGAAGCAAGCCAAAATGTAAGGTCCATGGAAGTTTCATAAACTTATAAAGTGCAAAACTACAAACAATGATACTCATCCGTCGCACCTGTGACACAAGCCGGAGAAGGTTTTCGAGGTTGGAGGCGGTGCCGTCGACTTTGTTTGGTAGGGCCATGAATGCTTTCCCACAGGGCTCATAAGCATATTCTCGGCCCTGAAGAAAAGCATAATAAAACATAAAAACAAACCAAAAAAAAAAAAAAAAAGCATTCTTCCTTTTAGACCAAAACGACTGCAGACTATATCTACTGTAGACACAGAAAAATAGCAACGAAAAAATAGTCCGAGCGCAGGCGAGCTGGTCTAAGTTGAACATGATGGTAAGCTTGAGACTGGGGTAGGAAAAGGAAAACGGAAAGAAGACAGACAAAGAGCAGGCAACCTGACACGTTGCCTGTTCTTTTTCCGTCTTCCTTTGCGTTTTCCTTTTCCTACCCATCTCAGGTTCACCCTCATGTTCAGAAAATTTGTGTTTCCACTTCACAGAAAGAAAATGAGAACGAAGAAGTGAAGGCCATCTTTCCACAGTAATGATAATAGCATCATGTTGAAAACCAAGAACAGGAAGGGTGTGTTGGGGACCTACATGATGTAATACCAGGATTCGGCTCTTTGTAAGAACGTCCGGCGATATAACCTGTGGAGTCAAATAAGGAACAAAACATTCATACATTCACTTATTTGTTGTTCCACTACAAAAGCGTGAAATCCATCCCAAGTGCAATAAACTACTGATATCAATCTTCATTTGCGCATCGCACTCACTGTGTAACCGCTGTCGGCGCTCAGCAACTCGGTGACAACCAGCAATGCATTTAACGTAGCAGCTCCACTACCGATGTTGTTCGCAGGATCTTCAACTGTTAACGTTTTCGTGGATGTGGGTATAATATTCCGATTTCGCAGTATTGCAAGCTCTGTTGGAAAGCGAAACACGAGGGTGGTGTCTCAGAACAAACCGTCCAACATGTACAACACGCTTAGATCCTTAGATCACTTAGACTTAGATGTCAGAACGCAGCCGCGCTTGCTGCTGTCAAGCTGTGACGCAATTTGAAGTAAACACGGAAAGACGACGACACAAAAACAACTACCCCTCACAGCAAAGGGTACACGAGCAAAATCAGGCGGACTCACCGGCTTCAATCGCAGTAGCCCACTTCAGAGAAGCGCAAGTTACTGCGATGCAATCAAACTTCGCCATAGCAGATTGCAAGTGCAGTGTACAGTACGCCGTAGCGTTGCGGCATAGAGAGACAACTGAACAGCGTCAAGGAGCGTAAAAACCAAAAGCCAGCGGGGAAAACCGCGGATGGTCGTGGTTTTGACCTGACCGGTTTTGGCTAGCCACTAGCCAGCCGTGCGGCCGTGCCAACTCATCAGCCAAAATCAGCCGTCCAGCCGCGGGTAGATGGATGGTAATAACATACCTATAATCATAGTTTTGTTTAACCCGAGACTGGGGTATTACGGAAAAGGGACGAGAAGAAAAGAGGCCACAAGGAGGCGACGTCTCAAAAGGGACGCTTCTCGTCCCTTTTCCGTAATACCCCAGTCTCGGGTTAAACAAAACTATGGTTAACTTCCACCAGCTCGCCTGCACCCTTACAATTTTTTCAATACCTATAATCTTCGCAATGGGTAGTAGCTAGCGCCATCTAGCCTATATAAACTCTCCAAAATTATTTTTAACCTTTTTTTGCTCGTTTGTTCACTAACTGATCACTCCACACCTTCATTAAGTGAGGAAGTGTGTGTGCCTGTGTGTGTGTGTGGGGGGGGGGGGGGGGGGGGGTGTCAATAACAAAGTAAACAAAAAAAAAACGATGGCCGACAGCGATCAGCGATGCGTAATTAAATATTTTTTTATTAAAATATATAGAAAGACAACCTTACATATTTCGAGGACACGCTGTACGTATAAAAATTAGTTGAAGTAAAGTAAAAAAAAAACAAAAAAACTGAGTACTTCAACCTAATGAAGTAAAAGACTGATCTAAAAATAAATGTAACGCCTTGCAAGTGGGCTCATTTTCGTCTTCTGCGCATAAGAAAGGAAGTAGCGGTGACGTCAGAACGCCGAACTCTGATTGGCTGATCGCGACCCCCTATCTCAGCGTCGTCTGCTCCTTTGCAACGTCGTCTGCTCGCAACGTCGTCTGCGTCTGTCTTACCTTTCATGCGACTTTCGGAGCGAACTCGACCTCGCCTTTAAGAGAGGGCAGACGAAATAACTCGAGCGGTACGTTGTTTTTGTCTAACAACTAGCAGACGCGCATCAAGGAGGGAAGTCAAAGGACTCCCTGGCGAGGTGTCCCGGGGCGCCGAGGTTTTTTTGCTTAGAACCGAGGGAAGTTCCCTCCCAAATACTTTTCCCTCCATTCGTGTGCGGCGAGACCCCTCACTCTTTAACGGCGTCGGCGGGTTGGCGCAGTTAACGTCGTCTGCTTTACATCTGCTAGTCAAAGCGGTCAAAGCGATGGCTGCTTTACCTTTGCTGCGTCTGTCGGAGATTCACCGCTTTTTCATCGGCGAGAGTCACCGTTGCCTCGGGAAACAAGGAGATAACAAGAGGAAGAAATTGACATTTTAATCTAAAACTGAGGTCAGCAATCAAAATATTATACGGGAAGGGTTCACAAAGGTCGCGCGGGCATATTCCACTCAGCACGCCAGCCGGTCGTGGGCAGACGGTCGCCGAGTCGCGGAGAGCCTGCTAGGCCTAACTGCCCAGCTCGTTTGGTCGCGTTCGGTGGGATCGTGGCCGTGGGAGCTTTTCCCGGGTGTTTGTGGATCCAGCGTTCTTGTTCGTCGTGGTCTGTTTCAAGTACTTTTTACTTTTTTCTTGCTGCTTGAAGTCGGGACGCGTCAAAACCGCACGTAAAAAAATAAACGTCCGTGGGTCGTCGCGACCGCGACGTTGTCGGCCATGCTGATTTGATCGTAAGAAGTGCGTAAGACAGCTTCGGAGCTGTCGTAGGATTTTGTCGTAACCTGCGCAAAACGTACGAAAATTTCGTTTCGTGAATACGAATTTGTTCTTAAGTTTTGTCTTACGCACATTTTTGGCGTAAGATCGTTTCGTGAATCTGGCCTCTGCACTTCCGAAAGTCGCAGGAAAGGTAAGACAGACGCAGACGACGTTGCGAGCAGACGACGTTGCAAAGGAGCAGACGACGCTCAGATAGGGGGTCGCGATCAGCCAATCAGGGCTCGGCGTTCTGACGTCACCGCTACCCCCTGCGCAAGAAGCAGACGAACTTGCCCTCCGCATACGAGTATGTTGTGATGATTCGCTGTCATAAAAAAATAATTCTGATTGTATAATGATAGCATGGTGAGTCTGTTTGGTTCAATTTGGTTGTGTAATTTCTTTTTTGTTTCCTTTCTGAGAAGGTAATGCGATTATTTCATGGAGTGCCTCCGTATCACCAATAACGAAATAATTTTTTTGAGGAGGAAAAAGAAAGGGGGGGAGGGGTTGAGCGCTGAGGAGGCTGGGATGTCCATGAGGTGGGGAGGAGAGGAGGGTTCAGACTGAATTTCAGGCAGGGAAGAAGGGGGGGGTGGGCCTAAGCACCGTCCCCCCCCCCCCCCCCCCACTCCCCCTTTCTTGGTCCTCACCCAAGCACGACAATGCTTAGTGAAACAGCACTGCATGATAAAACAAAAACAAAAAAAAGCAAGCAGAAATTGCGTTAAAATTATTATTATTATTAATATTATTATATTAAATTATTATTATTATTATTATTATATTTTTAATCTTTTGTAAGGCGATTTCGTTCCCCTTACTTTTTTTCTTTTCTTTTTTAGTGTGGTACGCGTAGGCTGCTTAGCTCCCTAGGGATACTCGAGTGCGTGATCAGGGCACATTAATTACTTTGGAGTCTGTGAAGAGCCTGAGTTCCCTCGGGCGTAGGTCTTGCCGTTGATGCGCGAAAAGGTTCAAAGCCAGGAGGATGGCTTCGAGCTCTCTTCCCTTGATCGTGGTTCTTGCGGGTAGTTGGCAGCATTCCGTGACCCCCGCAGCGGGGGCGAGAAACGCCGCTGCCCCAGCGGGCGTTGGTGTGTCATCTCTTGCGTGGTCTGTGTATACTGCCAGGATCTCGCTCGGGTCGGTCCAGTGCTGCACCATATTCCGGTGTGCCTTGGCGATCCGCTCTTTCCTTTTTTCGTCCCCTTTCTTGTCTCTAAGAGGCCTCCTTTCGGTGATGTCTGCCATGTCTTCCCACGGCGGAAGCCATTCCGGCAGGTTTGGTAGGTCTTCTAGGTTGTTGCCTAGCAGCCCCAGGATCTGTCTTCCTTGCTTTGTGTGTTGAAGTCTTTCTTCGTGCGCCACGACCCTGGCCTGGACCGTGTCCTGTAAAGTGTTGAGCTGCGCCCATTTCTCTAAATCTATCTTTTTAGTAAAAAAGGGTAGGCCCGTAATCACTCTCATCGCATGCCTATTGAGTGTCTCGAGTCTTTCCCACTGAACTTTAGTTAGATTGTAGTGTCTCGCGCCATAGCAAACCCGCGATGTCACGAGTGCCTTGACCATGTTCTTGGCCACCTCTAGAGTCGCTCCCCCTTTAACGATGCATAGTCTGCGGATGACTCCCAGCGCCGAGTGGCAATGTCTGCTTGTTTGTCGAAGCCAGATGTCCCCTGTACCAGTCTCCTCGAAGACCAGACCAAGCACTTTGACCTCTCGAGACGGGAGAATCCTTTTCCCAGCCAGCACCAGGGTCATCTTCTCTCCAATCTTTTCTGTCCTCTCCTTAAAAGGGGCTAGGACCACATACTTGGTCTTCTCCGGTGCCGCACTGAGTCCCACCTTCCGCAGGTGATTCTCGATGACGTCCAAGCCTGCTTGTAGCGTTTCTTGTTGTTGGTACAGGTCTCCGGTCTGCGTCCAAATGGTCACGTCATCGGCGTAAACCGTTAGACCCAGTCCTTCGATCTGTTCAAGTTGGTGCGGTAAGGCTGCCATCACTATGTTAAAAGGCATTGGTGAAATCACAGAGCCCTGTGGGACACCAATTCTGTTCGTCCTCCTCCCACCTTGCTCTCGTCCGCAGCGAACCGAGTATGTGCGGCCCTCGAGAAAGCTTCGAATAAAGTTTAAGGGTCTCCCGGAGATTCCCAATGATTGAGCTTCGCCTATGACTGCGGCATGTGGTACCGAGTCGAAGGCTTTTTTTACGCCAATAGCGACGATCGTTCTAATAATCCTTTTCTTTTTCTTGATAATATCCTTCGAAATGAGCATGAGGCTTTCCTGCGTTCCGAACCCCGGCCTAAAGCCCGTCTGCGTAGCGTGAAAACCTCCTGTTGTTTCAAGGAACCACTCGATCCGCTTCAGAACCATCCTTTCCACTACCTTGCATGTGCAGGATGTCAAGGATATAAAGCGATAGTTGATGATGGATCCCTTGTCTTTTCCTGGTTTCGGAATGGGTACCACGCTGGAATGTTTCTATTCCTCCGGCAGCTTACCTGTCGCCCAGACGTTGATGATTTCTTTCAGATATTCCTCTTTTGATTGATCTGGCAGATTCCTTAACATAGTCATTGTAACTTTGTCTGGCCCCGGTGCTGTATGGGCTCTTCCGACATGAAGCGCTGCTTCCAGTTCCCCTGACGTGAACGGGCTGTCCATTCCTGGGTTTGGGGCGAGCATCTCAATCATGTATGGTTTAAATCCATCTGTGGCGTCCGGTGGAGGCTGCGGAAAAACGAGCTCTCCCGCCATTTCCGCCAGGTCCTTCTCGGGCTTGTTCATCTTTAGTGCTAAGGACTGCGTCACTCTGGTCGTATTCTTTTTGCCCAGCATCGCTCGGCTCGTCGCCCACAAACGTTCTATTGATGTCTTTTCTGAGAGTGAAGTACATTGGTCAAGCCACCTCCTCATTCCCAGCTTTTCTGCGTACACCTTTGCTTCTACCGTCGCTCGGGTGATGTTCCTTCTGTTTTCCGGTGTTCTCGTCCCTTTCCTCTATTTTTGTACGGCCTGCAGTCGTGTTGCCCAGAGCTTTAGGAGGTGCAAGTCTGGGGTTGTCCACATTGCTACAGATGGTCGCCGCCTCGATCGCCTTCCTTAGCCGGGCCTCGAAGGGGGCATCTTCCAGGTCGCACTCTTCCAGCTTTTTTCGGTACTTGTCCCAATGTATCGTTCTTGTCTGTTTTTTCTTTTTCTCTTCTTCAGGCTTCCTCTTGACCGAAAATTCGAAAACGATCGGGAGTTGGTCGCTTCCCCAGCTGTCTTCGAGGCAGTTCCATTTCTGGTATTGTGGGTATGGGTTGTCCACCCACGTGAGGTCCGGTGTGGTGTCCTTCTGTCCTGTTGTGCCAATTCTCGTCTTCGCTCCTTTCGAGTTGGCCAGGTGTAGCTGATATGTCGTCATCTCCTCAATCAGATCTTCTACTCCATTGCTTTTA